AGATTTTCTGCCTAAGAGGGTGTACAAAAGCTTAAAAAAATTCCTATCCGGTACTACGGTACGACTTTCCATTTCGGAGGGCCGTCCTGTATGGCTATAGTTACAAATGCAAAATTACGTCACCGCCACACATGTGCAGAAGAATAATTGCCAGCGTATCATATCCCGGCATCTTGATGGTTAATCGGCGAGATTTGAGTTTTACCAACAGATGTGGACGGCAATTATTAAAGGAATCTGGTGTAATTAATATAATATGTAATAAACGCATGTTATATTTTATTACTTTGTTCAAATAAGAATGTAACCGCAAGCTTTGGAATCAACCAGGCTTTCTTCAGCAGCAAAATAAAAAGAAGTGCTTAGAGTAAAAAATGTTAAGCTGCGTCTCTGCGCATTGGTGAAACAAGCATTGTGCATTTTACATTTCCACTTGTTTTGAAAGAAGTAAGAATAACGGTACTAGGACGATGATATGGTTTAACATTGACTAATCATCATAATACATATAACCACGCTAACTACAAAACATGATGGAATGTATAGCACTCGGTGTCCCAGCGCAGGTGCAGAATATGTTAATAGTTTTAGTCTGCAAGTGATTATAAAATCGTACCTGTAAACCCAAAGAAGAAAATACAGTCTCGGCCTGTGAGTACGGAAACGCGAACTGCGAGTACCCTGTGGTACATACGATGTAAATCAGTCTGTAGCACCGGGGCATCGTGTTCAAGAGGTAACGGACTCAGATGTTGCAGTATAACATTCGCGAGCAGATGTAAATGGATGGGGTCCCATCGAGAACCCATATTTCATACTGTGCTGAGCCTCGATCTCAGTACGTGCTAGCTGAGAAATAGATTTCTTGCTGGGACGCTGATAGTACCTGTTCCTCTGTACCTTTTGTAATTATATTTTTTTTCGATCTGATTGATTGGGATTGTATATTGTCAGAGGTTTGCAATAGCGGGCGAAATTGATCTGTTCGAACTTATTTTTCCAACTGTGCTTAACGTTATACGGTCCACTTTTAAATTTTTACGATCATTTCCAAAAATAATCCTTGACTAGCGTTCGCGCGAGTTTTATGAACGTTAGTTTACGGTCCCGGAAATGTAAACTATGGCGTTTGTTTATACATTACAGAGGGAAAACGATACTTTTGTAGAGGAACAATAAGAAGCGTTACTGGAATTACACAATTTGTCATGTACCTTGTACATTTCGGTGCCAGTTGTAGAGGCCTTATAAAATAAAAGAAGCTTTTTATAATTGTAATAATGCTTCGTCTCTTGTCTGTTATCGTTAACTTTCACACAGTTGACTAGAGTTTGTAATTATAATCTCATTTCATTTATCCACGATTTTTACACCGAAATGGTAATCGGCTTTTGTACTTCTCGCGACTTTTTTGAAAAAGAACCTATATACCTGATAAATACCACCAATAATATATCTGAATTATCTCAATTAAGTTCACCGAAATACGTTTTCGCTTCATCTGGCGAATTTCTTGGATATCCAAGCGATAAAAGAAACCGAGCCGTATTTCTTATTAAGATGTTAATCGTGTCGCGTACTTATACAATTATTAATACAGTCAAATTGTTATTCGAAAACTGTTTGCATTACTAGCAATGATTAACGAATTTTTTCTAAAGATAGACAATCATATAGAAATATACAGGGTGTAAACCTTATGATAGTCATTATTTAAATGTAGATGTAGGTACTGTATTCCGGCGCCCAAAGAAAGGATCTATGAGACAGTAACAGATCACAAAAATTAATTTGAAAATCTACTTTGAAACAGGTGAAATACGTTAAGAGTGTTATGACAAACATATCTTACTGTAGGGTCCAGAATTTGTGTACGAAAACAAATTCCCATTTTTGTAACGTTAAGTTTTGCGAATGCTTATAATCTAGATGGATATAAGAGATTACTTATCTCTGGCTATACAAGTCTGTTTTATGGAAAAGAGTGGGACAAACCTAACGAAAAGAAGTGGGACAAACCTAACGAAAAAAAGTGGGAAAAACCTAACGAAAAAAAGTAGAACAAACCTGACGAAAAAAAGTGGGACAACCTAACGGAAAAAGTGGGACAAACCTAATGAAAAAAAGTGTGAAAACCCTAACGAAAAAAGTAGAACAAACCTGACGAAAAAAAGTGGGACAACCTAACGGAAAGTTTTGACATATTCCCTCGCATATTCCAACCCAACTTGGCACGGGTTGCCCTAGTTCTAGGTTCATAAAGCTATATTTACAATTGTTTTGACATTCTTCAAGCAAAATTAGAGGGTATGCTTTTGAAAAAAGAATTTTTTTTTGTCCACCCCAGTCTACTGAAGTTTAGCTGTAAGAGTAATTTTGATCTAAATCTCGTCTTTTGCAGTTTATAGTAACAAAGACGATAATTATTATTTATTTATGTTATTGATTATACAATAATACTAGTAAGTATTACCGTTACCATTATTTGTGCCATTCTTGCAGAGTACTTAATATGAGCTTAATCTTGAAAAAAAAATCGCATATTTAGTTTCAACTGGCACCTTGAAACTACTCGTTTTATTATTTTATGCTTTTCTGCATATAATTTTCTTGTATTACGAATCAGCCCGTCAAACTCGAGAGTTGTATTCTGATAAATGAGCCTTTTAGATTCACGGCGGTGTAAATAAATCGCGAGTAAGTATTTCTGACCTGATTACCAAACATGGTCTGCGACTGATCTGAAATTGAACTCATACCGAGAGCGTGTTGCTTGGCGACCTCCAAAAGAAAAAAGTACACGCTCGAAAGCGCTCAAAAGCCAAATGAGACATTTTGAAGATAAACAAAAAATTACGAGTCCTAACATGCACGCTGCCGAAATAGAGAAAAAATACGAGATTTGATCCATTTATTAACTACTTTATAAATGCTAAACTGCCTGGTACGTTGTATCCCACTATCTATGCTCGTACTAAATTGAAACGTGGTGTCGAGTACGTTGACTCAGTTTCGACGCAAGTTATTCTTAGTTCGCCCAAGTTGGGCCTTCTGAGTAAACAAGTCAGCTAAGAGTCGAGTATGAGACAGAGTTCCTCGGCTGCACTTTTCGCTGCTCTAAAGAGAAAATCTCCTCTAATCCTTTAGTCTTATTACTGTTGTTATTATTATCATTGCTTTCTTCTATCAGAGGAACCAAAATAAAATCCATAGATTCCTTTCTATTCCTATTTGAATAGTAACGCTTTTTCTCAGTTGTTGAATTCCACATGAACATTAAAAAGTCGCATATCTCCTGAAATATCTACAACTGGTGCACAATCGCGCTGTTGCAGCGTTCGTCGGTCATTCCGCGACGGCTGGCGACCACAAAATCGAACCGTTCGTTGGCCCTATCAACTCGGCAGCTCTCTCGATCTCTCGGCGCAGTCTAATTGGCCATGGTTTGATGCGACTGTGTAGATGAGTGGATGTTTCTGTTTTAAATAATTTTGACCAAAAAATGTGCAATATTGTATAAACTAAATTCGATGCAGATCTATCGATATGATAATTGTCAGCTGCAAATTTCCCCGAATAAATATTCTATTGCATACATGGAAGAAAAGATTATTCGATTGTATGTTCAGTTGTATGTCCGTATTACACTTTTTATAATGTTGCAAACTATATATATAGGTATACGACGTATCCAAAACCGATTACTATTAAAAAATAGTTGGCGATACCTTCTAGCGATGTAAATCCCAGAAAACGTATTTCATTTTCGAAATTTTTTGCAATCAAAGTACTTCCTCGCTGATAGGCGTGGGAAGTAAAACACTCATACCACTTCTATCCAAACTATAGCACTTTTAATACCCCGTAACATTTTAATGTTCCAGCTGCAAATCCTCCTCGCATTGGAGCATACGATTATAGATTCACACCAAAGCATTTTTCATGACTGATTATTAATTTCTATTTTTGAAAACGAAGGCCACTCGGCGCATATGTGCGTTGCCCGGTTGGCTCCCACACAAATTGAAATCTGTAAGGTTGCATGCAGTTTCGTTTTCCATTTAACATCTGTTTGCATATTAAGCCGATCGTTTAATAAAAAAAACATCGGTGACAGACACACATTATTCTTTAGACACATCTGTAATGGTAATTTTGGTTGGTGTCGTTTTTAAAACGAGGCTTTTCTGGGTTACGATGCAATTCAGATGATGTCACTGATTTGGTTTGAGCTGGCGCCAGTTGTTCAAACTACTACTTTGCTACGACCGCAGATTCACTGCTCAAATAATATATCATTTCATATTTGGGTACAACATTGTCTTGTCTATATTAGGCTCTGTTTTTTCATATATCAATATCTCTTGTATTCTCGTACCTGTACAATCAGAGTATTCCAATAATGTATTCTAAATCGAGGAAGCAAGCACTGATTCCGAACAATATGAGCATGTTTACTTAATATTCAGTGATTTTTCTATTTTGGTTCAATTTGTTTCATTGCGAGTTTCCGAGTGATTGAAATTTCGAGTTAATATTGCAATCACTTTCTATTTATCAGCAGACCTGAAAGTATGATCAAAATTACAGCACTCCTAGTCGGAATGGCATTTTCTATGTCATTTAGTATCTATATTTCAAAAATCGTACACTCACATAGCACAGTCTGTGTACATAGGCTCCACGTATAGGCAACCACAAATACAATCTTAATTAAGTGCGTCAGACAGAGCCGTACTCAGCACTTTTTGTCTCGTCGCGAAAATTCAAGTGAAGGTTAATTTAGTTTTTTCCGAAGCATCGAGTACCTCTCAACGTACTCGAAACATGTGAAAAAAGCGTGACGCATTTTCATTTCTGCCATATGCGACCAAAAGTATACGAGGTTCTTTCATCTTTATTCGCAATCGTTAGTACGGTATAGATCATGGAGATTTTATTCGAATCTCCATTCGGTATTTGATAGATAACTTGGCTTTGACCGTACCCTTCCTTTCCAGAAATGCGGCGCAGGTCCAACATCGTACGATTGCAGCTGCTGCAAGGGCTTGAAGGGCAAAGAGGGCAGTCCTGGTGTACTAGGCAAGCAAGGGCGGCAAGGTGACTACGGTGACGTAGGCTTTCCGGGGCCGCAGGGCAGCAAGGGCGAGAAAGGGGCGGACGGAGACTATGGAACCATGGGAGAAAAGGGCACTTTCGTAAGTAGGAATGCGTTGAAAATACCAACCTTAAACGGATCGTATTTAAGTTGTGATGAACTTCTAATGCTTGCAAAACCCAAAAATGATCACCATGATTCTGATAGTACCACAATCTGATATACAAATATAAGTTGGTTAAATGTTAATGAACTTAAATTAAGCAGTAGTAAAACAAAATAAAACTACTGTTTCAAGAGCAATTTTTCAAAAGTATCAGTAAAGATAGAGTTTCCCATAATCTCAGCTTATATTCCAAAAAAAGTATGTAACACTATAATTTCTTTCCCAATTTTTATATTGTTCCATTAGTTTGTTCACAGCAAATGAAAACATGATTTCAAAATTACAAATTCTACAAAATAAAGCTATGAGAAACATTTTAAATAAAAACAAATATGCTAACCCTATGTTATAAGAACTAGAGTGGTTGAATATTAAAAAATGTATATGTTATTTAGTTCCCGTTTTCATATTCAAATTTAAAAACAATTTATTATCACCAGATTTAGAAAACGTCACAAGATTAAATAGCCATTACCATAACTACGAAATAAGAAGCAGCTTAGATTTTCATCTACAAAATCTACAAAAGGGAGCGATGAATTTATTAAATTGAATAATATAATACTAAACATTAAAAATGTGTAAGGTGAAATTAAAAAATTGCGGTATGAATAGTGATGTAATTTTAATAAACAAGACTGTAAAATTATTACGGAAAAATGATTCTCAAAATGTGTAAACGAATAATTTTACAAAATTGCCATTACACAAACAAACAACATATAATAACTACGATTCCTTCTAGGGTGATCGAGGTTTCGCAGGTATTCCTGGACCAGCTGGAGCTATGGTAAGTACCACTACGAAATTCTGTTCGAATACAATCTGCAAAGACACTAAAGAGTGAGATTTATAGACCTTCCATGAGGATTGAGGCTTCCTTGGAAGCAATATACAGGAACAAACTAAGATAATTTATATTTTTATAAAGTAGACACATGGGATTTTTTTTAAATAATATCATTAAGATGTGAGCCATCATGATGAACGCACTCCTCGGATCACGACTTCAAATTCGTGAAAACTCGTTGGCACACCAGTCCCAGGATAGCGGACTTCTCCTCGGAAATGTTCTGCATGTGCTGGCCAATCGTCGTCGGGTTATTGGCGTAATCGTGGCTCTTGAGGTATCCCCAAAGAAAAAGATCCATGGGCTCCGTTGATGTTTTGATTTGGGATTTTCTGCGGCCCAATACAGGTGATTTTGCTTGTTGACAAATCCTCTAAAATGAAAATGAGCTTCATCAGAAAAGAGAATATGTGTATTGTTCAAACTTGGAAAGCGCTCTAACATTGTTACTATTTCCAAGGAGAGATCCATCGTTTCCAAGGAAGTCTCAGGCTCAGGCTCAGGGAATAGAAACACTAAAACCTTGGAATTCAGGTCCACTAAAAGGATGTTTGTCATACTCACAAACTTTTATTTGAATCCACCTGTTGGTATGCTTGTTAGGGGACGCGGGTTCCGAGACGCATTTCTGTCTCTGCGTTATTATCGAGGAATCTTGGAATATTTTTCTTCAACAAATTACTACCATATTTTACAGGGTGAACCCGGAGAGTATGGCTTGAAGGGGAGCCAAGGCCTGGACGGTTGCAATGGAACTGATGGAAGGCCGGGGTTACCAGGAAGGTTTGGATATCCAGGCTCCAGAGGACCTCCTGGCCCAGAAGGATCGAGAGGGCCCAGAGGAGAACCAGGAGAAGGAGGTGGGAACTCTATCGGGACCAAGGGAGATTGGGGTATTTCAGGGTAAGAAACAGAATTTGAATAATAGTGATATCAACTTAAATGCGAATGTAAATATTTCCCTAATTTGCCGATTTGTTGTTTCGCAGCTACGATGGACCTCCAGGAGGGCCTGGATTACAAGGGCCGCCCGGACCTGTTGGCCCTAGGGGACCTCCGGGATTACCTGTAAGCATTGCTAAAAATGAATGAAACAGTGCATTCTTCAAAATTGCCTTCTTTATATGATACGTATTTTTCTGTGTTTTTTTTCTAGGGCTTAGTGGGGGAAGCGGGTCCTTGGGGCCCCCCAGGCGACATGGGCGACGCCATCACAGGAGACAAAGGACAACCTGGAGATACGGGAGATGAAGGTTTGAAAGGCGAAAAAGGAGATGGGTTCTCGAAAGGATGGATCACCGTGATTAGAACAAGGTTGCATACGTACAAGGGAGGTCGAGGACAGAAGGGTGAGAAGGGCGAGAGAGGACCGACGGGAAGGAAGGGATATAGAGGAGACAAAGGGTATCCGGTAAGTGACAATGCGCGTGATATTTGTCTGTAATTTTCTATATCGTTCAGATTTCCCTTTTTTGAAGAGGTAAAATTGTACCTAGCTTGAACAGATAAGACAAAATCACACCGCTTAAGGAAACACGACCTCTTTTCAGCTCACCCCAATTGACAATTTATAAATTTCCAGGCCACCTTTGTTTCGTATAATAAAAACTAGTATTTCATACTTCAAGCCATTTTTCTATTAGGTATAATGCAATTGTCACAGATAAAATATCTTTGGGTCCGTAGGTACCATTTCTTTAACTTTCTGAATTCCCTATTAAAAGGGCATCCCGGGTCGCAAAGGTGAGCAAGGCCTTAAGGGCGACCAAGGCGAAGACGGGCCTTACGGCAAACAGGGCCGGCTCGGCCCAGCTGGACCGAGCGGAGAAAAAGGCGACAAGGGCGCTCCGGGGTATGAAGGAATGCCCGGATTCGACGGAACGAAAGGAGAGAGGGGAGAGTCAGGAAACGGGGGCACTCCGGGACTGCAGGGCAAAGAGGGACCTCCGGGGGTGTATGACCCTTTCTTTGATGAACCGGGGAAGACTGGCAGTATGGGCAGGCAAGGACCCACCGGCTTTCCAGGAGACAGGGGTGAGTATTTACAAGACGACTCAAATAATTCGGCATCCGTATGCGCAAAATCAAACAGATGGTCCAAGTTCGTAACAAACTCTTGTCGACGTTGTTCAAACATTTCTTGTGTGCACTTTTTCGCAAATTTCCCCAAACTTGGTATAAGGTAACTAGTTTCTCAGCACAGTTAGGCAGGGATTTAGTTGGCATACGTGCCTTTTCCCAGTAAATAATGCACTCACGAACAGTAAGGTTAGCGCTCTCATTGACATTTAATTTCACTTCCCGGATATTAGGATATTACAGAACAAAACTGCTACTACTTGTCCATTAGAAGGAAAGAATGAATGAAAACACGAAATTAGAGGCATACCGGCCACCATAAAGAGCCAGCGCATAGGACACTCAGACGGGCCCTTGTGCACCTCCACATTTCTTAGACCTCAAGCCTCGCCATTCTAGCGAAGTTGAGTATAGCCTTGAGCCCAAGCTCCTTAATGTCCTGGAGGTCCAAAGTGCTGGACCCCAGTATAGTCTGCCTGTAGTAGCTAAGAGCCTCGCAGCGACACAGAACGTACGCCGAGGTATCTTCTTCTACCCCGCAGCGCACACACAAGGGACCCTCAGCCACCTCCATAACGTGCAGGTGGCGCCTTAATGGGCAATGGGTTCCCGTACATGACGTAGACCTCTGGAGATGCTTCTCCATTTCTGAGAGTGTTGTCTTGCAATCCACTTCTCCGTTTCCTCCTAAGTCTTAGCGCGGGCACCCCTAAAGCTGGCTCAGGACCAACGAGCTTGCTGGCTGATAATATCATCGCCAGAGCGTGCGCCGTCTCATTGCCCTTTATCCCAGCGTGCCCCGGTACCCACACTAACGATACCGGATATCCCGCTGCTAGACAATCCAGAGCCTGCCTGCATTGAAACACAAGGCTCGAAGTAATCTTACAGGCACTTAGTGCCTTCATTTCAGCCTGGCTGTCGGAGAAGATTGTTATCCTATTCCTAGGCCCACCCCTCTCCAAAATGAGGGATACACAAGCCAGAATCGCAACGATTTCCCCTTGGAAAATCGTGGTGTATCCGCCAAGAGGCAGAGGTAGCCTAGTCCTAGGCCCCAAGAACCCGGCGCCGGAGCCCTCTTCGGTGACCGAGCCGTCCGTGTACAAGACTTGCCCACTCACTCCAGTGAGCCTCCGGTAGCCGGTGTCCCGCTCCTCCCTCGTTGGATACTCTACATTAAACATGCGGTTGAAGCGATCCTCCCTTTGCAGTTTGACCAGGATGGTAGTATGACCCTTGACGGGATTCAAGGAGCCGTACAAGAGAGATGGACTATTGTCGTGTAGAGCCAGTGAACCACGTTGGGTTTGAGCCCCCACCTAACAACAACAACGCGTCTACAAGCCCACTATGAATTGCGAGCCATGTTAACCTTAAATTCAACCATTAGAAGGAAGTTTTGAACCAGTAATTTCATGCTTCATGTATCCTATTGAAAATATTTTTTTAGAACTGCGTTAATTCCTTCGACATGTTGACTGAACGAAAACAGTGCGTTGACTACTAGAACAAACGACCACTGCAATACGTTAGCTAGCACGCGCCTCTGCACGGGTTGCCCTGATCCTAGGTACATACGGTTTTATTAATAATTTATTGTTTTGACATTATTCAAGCAAAATTAGAGGGTATGCGTTTGGAAAAAAAGAACTTATATTTTTTGTGACACCCCAAAATGATTGAGAAATAAATCGTTTCCTAACCGACTTTTCTTTTGTTCAGGTATGGCAGGTATACCTGGACGTCCAGGCCTTTCCGGCCTGATAGGCGAACCGGGCAAACCGGGACCTCCAGGATCGGTGGGATTTCAGGGAAGAAAAGGGATATCACCGAAAGGAGAACGCGGCATAGACGGACTCCCGGGACAGCCAGGACATACTGGCCCGCCCGGCGAACCGGGACCCACTGGCACTTACGGAGAGAAGGGATTTCCTGGTAAGGCTCTTATTCAACACCGTTTAGAAATTCGAGGAGGAAATTATAATTTTATAGTTTGGGATCGATTATTTCAATATATTTCAGACCAATATTTTACGTCATCATGTTCAAGTATATAGAAATAACTAGAAAGGTAATTTAATCTTCCTAGGTGAAACAGTGATAGGCCCCCAGGGATCGCCAGGCATACCCGGCATCCCAGGATACGAGGGACGTCTAGGTGATAGAGGCGATACCGGCGACGCTGGTCCTAAAGGATACCCGGGAAATGGACTGGCGATCATAGGACCCCCAGGAGACCCCGGATCAAGAGGCATGCCCGGTTTGGAAGGAGATGCGGGGATACCGGGATTTTCGGGGTCGCCAGGATTTAAGGGAATGAGAGGAGACGACTGTGGATATTGTCAACCAGGTAAGGGAAGACTGAAATGCTAAATGTAGAGTCAATCTACTGTACGACATTTTTTTAACAAAATATCGTGTTTTGTAGGTCTAAAAGGTCCCAAGGGCGAACGCGGAGACGCAGGACGGCACGGTCGACCGGGCACGATCGGGTTCCAGGGGCTGCCGGGTCCCAGGGGTCAACGAGGACCGCCAGGTCTAAAAGGCAAGCTTGGAGACCCAGGTTTAGATGGGCCACCTGGTTTCGATGGAATAGAAGGGCCGCCAGGGGCTAACGGTACCGATGGGTTGATACATTGGCCGCCTAGGTCCAGCACGATACCGGATAGGGGAGATATCGGAGACATGGGATTCATGGGTAAATACTAGAAATTGCTACGGATTAGGGTATGTAATTGACATTATTTGAATGTTTTTAGGTCCGGTGGGCCCAGACGGATCGCCAGGCCCAAAAGGGCTCCCAGGCCATTACGGATTTTCAGGCAACAAAGGCGAAATGGGCGACGTAGGGCTGTCCGGCATCCCGGGTGTAGATGGGATTCCGGGAATTGGGGGAGAATTAGGACAAAAAGGAGACCCAGCTGGCATACCAAAAGAATTCCTCAGGGGCGATCAGGGTCTGAAGGGACCTCCGTAAGTATCGTTGTAACGCCGTTTCCGTAAATTTGAATTTCAAAAGCGATATGTTGCAAAATTCTTTATTTCCGTTATTATGCTAGGTATCAGAAGATTTCTTTACAAATGTGATCGACATATTTATGCAGGGTGTTCAAAAATAACGGAAGGAATACTTTTTTGGATTTATAATAATATAATAATAGTAGGTACTCTTTATTTACAAATACAAATATTATACAAAAGGTGTAAACCACTTGTGATACAAATATCGTCAAATAGACAAAAATAACAATAAAGTCTTGTCGATAGCAGATGATCAAATCTGTCTTCAAAACGTCTTCGGTTATGCATGGTTCTAGATTTAGTAATATTTTGTATATTATTTATTTAACTGCACTCTTTCTTACAACTGCAGAAACATAGATAAGGAGTTTTAGACAATTGTAAAGAGGTCTTTTTTCTAATAACATTAATCTAGTTAGGATAGATATTCTCATAAAGTCAAGTAAGATTACTTGTACGTTCATTAACTGTGAACAATCGTTTACTCTCAAATAGATATATGGCACTCGAATAAACACTCCAAAAACGGTTAAATTACTGAATTGCTTGAATTTGCTTCTACATGATTCAAACCCAAAATAAAAAACAAATTGAATTTTGAAAATTTGCTCTACAGTAAGTTGTTCGAAAAAACATAGCACAAGTCTTAGTTTTATTAAGAATTACCCAATTATGAAAAACCCAGGTTTGTACATATAATGTAAAGCATTGCGGCTGGGTGACAAAATGTACTTCTTATCTTTTAGGGGAGACAAAGGAGAGGATGGGCTTCCAGGTCCCCGAGGATTCCCAGGCGATGTCGTGGACGATTTTACTAAATTATCAGGAGAAGTTGGCCCTAAAGGAGAGATCGGACCACCTGGTAAACTATGGCCCTTTAAACAATCTAGATTCAATTTTCAGTTTGAAATTAAATGTTCCTCACAAAATTTTGTTATATATCATATATTCAATGTCCTGTTTTAAGCAACACTGTATTAACGTTTGTCCTCGATTTCATTTGACAGGACCAAAAGGTTGGGCTGGGCTGAAAGGCTTCAAGGGCGATCTTGGTTGGCCAGGCTTACCTGGTTACCCAGGACCTGCTGGAAGATCGCTGCCAGGGCCACAAGGCGTCAAAGGATACCCGGGAATTCCGGGAGATCAAGGACCCAGAGGAACAGCGGGAATGCCTGGAATACCAGGAATACAGGTTAGTATCTCGTGTGCTTAGAGTAAATCTCTACCGGTATTTTGGTTAGAGAAGTGGGATATCTAAGACGCTTAGGTTTTTCGCGCCGCTTGGTGCTGTAATCTCGAAAAATTTCGAAATTGTTATATTTTTTTATAGTTTTTGAAAATCGGTCCCGTGAGGGCCGAGAAAAAGCTCAAACACGAAAGAAATAAAAATCGACAAACTTATTATTTAACGTTTGAATATTTGATGACAATTGCAGGGTAGACCGGGAGGTCCGGGTCCAAAAGGAGACAGAGGCGACATGGGTTTAAGCATCCTAGGCGGAGAAATGGGATCTCCGGGACCCGATGGAGAGAAGGGAGACATGGGCGACTGGGGGCCAGACGGCGTTCCCGGCTTTTCTGGCAGACCGGGCCCGAAAGGTTGGTTCGCAAAAAGATACTTGTAGTGCAAGAACACTTGCCAAACTAACCTTACTGTCATTTTAATAGGTGAAAGGGGTGGCAAAGGAGCCCCAGGCTATTCGGGTATGCCAGGCTTGCCTGGTTTGAAGGGCCAGCAGGGCATTACGAGAGTCGGCCCTCCAGGAAGACCGGGGCTACAAGGACGGCCTGGGCTACAGGGTCTATTTGGAGATGAAGGACCAAAAGGCTACGATGGATCTCCGGGACCAAATGGACTTCGTGGGGCCAAAGGAGATGCGGGCTTACCAGGACTTCCCGGGCTTGAAGGTATACTCCAAAAAACAAACCTGTGTTGGAAAAAAATTGATAAGCTGTTTTACAATGAAATCTTAACACTGCTGCAAGTCTAATTGATCACTTTTTTCACTTGCAAATTCATACTTATATCGACTGGACTTTGGTGATGCGCGCTGCTGAGTTATCGGTTGACTATTCCTACTTCTGCCTTCTGTTAGTGTATTTATCTTCGAATCGACGAGTCCAGAGGCGTTCCCGCGACTTCCAGACAGAACTCGAGTGTCCATCGAAACGTGGTGGTGGTGGTCGATGTTTCGCATTGATTGCCTAAACGCCGATGTACGTGGGTGATACTCAGAGTTCTGCATATAAGTACAATCAAGAATATAATTCCGATGTAAAACATCTTATTGCAATTAGTAATAATACCTCAACGTCGAATTCTATTACAAATATTTAAAATATGTATTACCTACCTTCCTGCAGGTGATGAGGGACCAGCGGGATGGCCAGGACACAAAGGCAGAGACGGTATCCCCGGACTCCCAGGACTTCCCGGAGAGAGAGGAAACATGGGCTTGCCAGGCTATCCAGGACCGCCTGGTCCTAAAGGATTCCCGGGAATGAAAGGATTTATCGGACTCAGAGGCGATGCTGGATTTCAAGGGTCTCCTGGTTTTCCAGGAGAGGCTGGTAATGAGGGACCCAGGTGAGATCGATAAACCTGATTATTCTGTCATTCTTACAGATCCTTGAGGGACAGAGAAGATGGAAGAGACAACCGCGTGATAAGTTAATTCAAACAATTTTAAGAAAGTTCATAGGCGATCTGTTGAATTCCTGAGGTTCAAGATAGACAAAATTAATTTTTCTCTACAGTTTCTTCCCTGCTTTCTAACTGGAGCTTTGTCTGTTGAGCAAGTGTATTTTCCATAAATAAATAAATAAGTCATAATTCCGTTTTATCTTCTAGGGGCGACCCAGGCTTCCCAGGCATACCAGGCCCCAAGGGCGACTCATCCTTCAGCGGAGAAAAGGGAGATGAGGGCGAGTCAGGTTTTAATGGACCTCCAGGTTTTGACGGAAGACCGGGGTTGGCGGGCCTTCCAGGACTTCCGGGAGACGCCGGAATAGATATTGTGGGTCTTCCGGGTTACAAAGGCGAGAAGGGACTGCCGGGTCGGCCAGGCGTGAACGGAATACCTGGAAGGAAGGGTGCTAGAGGGGATCAAGGCCCCTTAGGGGCTAAGGGCGAGAGAGGAGACGAAGGAAGGCCGGGGTACCCTGGCGTTAGGGGCAAAGATGGACTACCGGGGTATAAGGTAAGTGCATTTCAAGTCCTTTCTTATAGATTCTTATCGAACGAAATGGTTTTATTTTGATTTCAGGGTGAATCGGGCGACAATGGTGTCACAGGTTTCGAAGGTCCGAAGGGCGAACTGGGCATGGAAGGAGAACCTGGACTAATTGGAAGACCTGGAATGCCCGGTGACATGGGACTACCTGGACTGACAGGCCCATCTGGGTCCAAAGGAATCAAGGGAGATCGAGGTCTGCCAGGATTGGCGCCTTACGGATACGCCGAGAAAGGAGATATCGGAGATGCTGGCATGAGAGGATTACAAGGTAAAACTATTGATTTCGGTTTGATATGTTAACGGTGGAACTATAGATTTGTCAATTGATTTATAGGTATCAAAGGTATCATCGGCGACATAGGGCTGCCAGGCTTCGAAGGTCCTAGAGGAGAACGCGGAGAGCCAGGTTATCCTGGCTTGACGGGTGAGCCGGGATATCCAGGATTGCCAGGCGTGAGAGGAGATGAAGGGCCACCTGGACCCCCGGGACTGCCGGGGCAGAACCCTGAGCCTGGAGAGCCAGGAGTTCCTGGATTCGACGGGTTGCCAGGGTATCCGGGAACACCAGGACAGAAAGGAGCACCAGGTATGACGATCGATACTTATCTTTGGAAAAACTGTGCATCAACAACTCATTTTTTTTTCAGGTGAAACTGGGTTCGATGGGCCACCAGGTCGCCAAGGCATCCCAGGCTTAGGTTTGCCAGGCGTGAAAGGCCCGAAAGGTGACGATGGCTTGCCAGGACTCCGGGGTAGGCAAGGACCCTCGGGGGTAGAGGGAATCAAAGGAAGAACGGGAAGGCCTGGAAGGAAGGGAATGGCTGGAGACTACGGATTCGCAGCCACCAATTTCAAGGGAGAAGTCGGCGATGTCGGATTCCAGTAAGTCATCGATATTTTACAAACAGTATTTACGTCCGCAAAGCCAAGAATAAATGCATATGAATTCGTCTGTTGAAAGATTTCTGCCAACCCTAACAGGAAATTACTGTTTCTTGCTTTTTACCAATCCTCAGTACGGTGTAGGTCCTTTACTTATGACTTTTTTTTATTAGAGGGCCTCCAGGTTACGATGGCCCCAAAGGTGATCGCGGCGACTCAGGATTAAACGGCCTCCCAGGCCAGATGGGTTCAGAAGGACCGAAGGGCGTGGCAGGAGACAGAGGCATCGACGGTATCCCCGGATTTCCTGGAGGGATAGGAGAGAAGGGAGAACCGGGAGATTGGACAAACGATGCATCCAAGGGACAGAAGGGCGACGTGGGATTCCCGGGCATCGATGGACCATCAGGACCTAGAGGAAAAGATGGCCTGCCAGGGTTACCGGTAAGAATTTGTTCATGTGATGGAATTCCACCTATCGATCCATAGTTGTTGTGAATGTTTTCAAATATGTAATTCCAGGGATATCCAGGTGAAAAGGGCATAAGAGGTGACAGAGGTGTGTCAGGTTTGCCAGGCTTCAATGGGCCGAAGGGAGAGGTCGGAGAGCCTGGATACAGAGGGTTGCCTGGTCTAAAAGGTCGAAGAGGACCCAAAGGCATCGAAGGAGACGCTGCTCCTGCACCTCCAGGTCCTAAGAACAGAGGATTTTTCTTCACCGTACACTCACAATCCGTTGAAATACCGCAATGTCCTAAGGATACTGTCAAACTGTGGGACGGATATTCCTTGCTGCATATTTTGGGCAACGAAAAGTCCCACGGGCAAGATCTAGGTATGTGAACTAGTTTGGTTCGGTTGTATTAATATATGAAGTGCTTACTGTAAGCATGTGTTTTTTCATAGGTACGCCTGGCAGTTGTCTCAGGAAATTCAACACCATGCCATATGTGTTCTGCGATATGAACGATGTTTGCAACTACGCTCAGAATAACGATTACAGTTACTGGTTATCGACGACCGAACCGATTCCAATGATGATGACGCCGATATACGCAAACGAAATACAAAAATATATCTCCAGGTAAGCTCGTCGTTTCTGGTTCTTGGTTAGAAACTTGAGAAGTGTATAATACTCGTAAATAGCTTCTCGACGTCTTGTCGGGATCGGAAGTCCTTTTGATGATTAGTATTTTTTTATTATTTAAGGTGTACAGTATGCGAGGCCCCCACGAGGGTGATAGCGATGCACAGTCAAACACTCGATATACCCCCATGTCCCACAGGTTGGGAAGAACTTTGGATCGGATACAGTTTCCTTATGGTAAGACGAAACATGTTTTTTTTTCTGTGGAAATGGTCGAATTTTTTTTTCCTTTATAACGACATATACCGCTTTTTTCCGTACGTTTTTCTTTATGACGACACAGACCGCCTTATTTCCAGCACACCGACGCGGGTGCGGAAGGTGCCGGTCAATCGTTGGTATCTCCAGGCTCGTGTCTCCGAGAATTCAGGCCGAAACCGTTCATCGAATGCCACGGCCACGGCAGATGCAATTACTACACGACGGCGGTTTCTTATTGGCTGGCTGCCATCGAAGACACGTTCATGTTCAGGAAACCTAGACCAGAGACGCTCAAGGCTGGATCTTTGACTCAGAGAGTGGGCAGGTGCTCTGTGTGCATTAGACAAAGGTGAACATCTCATTTGTTAACTGTTTTGTTGCGATGCCTTCTTAAAAAATGGCTAAATCTGTATTTCATCAAGGGTTGATAGAGTATAACAAATTAAGCACAAAGGTAAAAGACCAAAATACTGAAATTGAAGAATGACTTGTTAAATCTACAATTATAGCTTGCCCAACATGTGCATCGTATGGCTTGAATTTACTAATTTCACGTTGTTTATAATTATTAAATAAATCTTTTTACTACTACTTCTTTCTAATATTACATTTCGTTAGATACACGATCCAGAGAAGCAGACCTCCTCCACCTCCGCCTCAAAGAGTGATCCATCCCAGTCAAGGCTCCAGTAACCAGCCTCAATCACCGTCTTACGGAGGTCAGTCGTACGGAGGTCAAAGGATCTCTCAACAGTCCTTCGCAGGTCAAGGTTCCGGTAGCCAGTCGTTTGCGGGCGGTCAAAGGGTATCGGAACGCACTTACGCAGGAGGTGCGAGAGTAGGAGATTATGGTGGTCACAGAAGCGCGGAGACCTCGTACGGGGGATCGTATGGAGGTCAAAGAGGTCCGCAGCCTCCCTCGTATATACCATCAAGCGCTGCGGAAAGTGCTAGAAATGCGGAGCTTCTACGAAGGCAGAGGTAAGCTTTGTTGAATTCTACTGTTACTAGTCACACAAAAAAATTAACCTTACAAGTGTGTAATAAGGATACATTTTTTATTTTGTCAACAACTTGTTTGTTTGTTTGTTTAAGATTTATTTGGCGTGATTGCTACAATTAGATTCTTTCAAACAACTACAACAATTACATAACATACAGATTTTCAGAAATTAAAACAAAATTTGCATCTCTAAGAATTTTCATTGTCCATGAAATATTCCTTTAATTTTCTTTTAAATATCTTTAAATTACAAGTAGACTTTATATCATTATTTAATTTATTAAACTTAAGTAATCCTTTCTGAAATATTGATTTGCTAGTTATATTACTATTGCAATTTTGTAAATGGAAATCTATATTTCCTCTTGTATAATAATTGTGGTAATGATTCATAGATTCAATTCTATGTAGTGAAAAGATGATTTTTTATTTTAAATATAAAAATAAGAACCAACTATGATGTGAAATTTTTTATATTCAACCACTGCAATTCGTGTAACATAGATTTTATTTTGGTGTACTTATTTTTGTTCAATAATTCTCATAGCTTTATTTTGCAAGACTTGTAATTTTGAGAATACTGCTTCATTGGAAGTGAACAAGATAGTTGAACAATATAGTAAATGCGGTAGAATAATTTTATTATAAACTATTTTCTTGGAATAGGTACCAAGACTATGAGAAGCCCTATAAAAGTAATTTTTTTTTTGTAAATTTTTGAAATAATGTATTCATCAATATTTAATTGATTCAACATCTTCAATTGTTTCTCCATTTATCCTAACTGTGATAATATTTTAGGTATTTCCCTATTAGCATATATTTTGTTTTAGAAGTATACAATTTTAGTTTATTTACACTTAACCAATTTACGATTTTTGCCATGTCAGAATTTAGCTTTTTGAAGCAGTGTCTATATTTTCATCTGATATGTATCATCTGCGAATATCTGAAGTTTACAATAATCTAAAATATTACAAATGTCATTAATGTATGTAGTGGACCTATTTTACTACCTTGTGGTATACCAACAGAAATATTTTTTGATCTAGATAATGTAGATCCAATTTTGGTTTTTTGACTTCTGTCAATTAAATAGTTTTGTAGAATTTTGAATACAGATCCTTTAAATCCGTAGTGATGCAATTTTGTAAGTAATTTATCCCTGCCAATAGTCTCAAACGCCCTTTTGAAGTCCCAAAAAAAACACTGTTACTGTATGTTTCCGATTTTCCATACTTCCATAATTCCAGCTTGAAATTTGGTTAAAATGTTATTACCCTGAATAAATTCGATGATCCGTTCGTGAATAATTTCTTCAAAAACTTTTTCAACATCTGCCAGAACACTTATTGACCACATATTGGTGTACAACTCAGAATTCTTAACTTTCGAAACAGGAGTTATGGTAGAACACTTCAGTTTTGTTGCAAATTCGCCATATTTTAAACAGTAATTTATCAGGATTAATATTCTTGCTCCAATAATATCAAAACGTTCATTAAGCACACTTTTCGACAAAATCTCACTCTTATTTTGATTTGATTTAATCTTTGATATAATCTTCTTGGGACGACTAATGTTAACTTTTCTAAACTGACTGAATTATAATCTGTACCCAATCGACGTGTTTCATTTTAGATAATGTATTTTTTTCAATAGGAGAAACAACGTTTTTCAACGTTTTCCACATATACAGGGTGTCCCAGAAGTCGACGTCAAGCCGAAACCGGCTGATAGGCAAAGTCATAACAGCTATCAGAAAAATATTTAAAAAATGTTATGTATGTGTTTTGAAAATTATAGGTCTTTGAAAAAGATATAGAAATTTCACACCGTACGGCAGTCTGTCAACTCCTGTTACTACAAATATTAACTTTTTTTGGATTTTATTTTTACAACGTAATGATGAATAATGCATCTTCAAACTGGTGTCTCAACCTTACTGCCAACTTATCTCGTTCAGGAAAAATTGCCACTTATTTCCCAACCAAGTATTCCAAAGTAAAACTTTGCTCAACTTTAAGTGGCTGTACTGGGAAAAAATGTACTACGAGATTTTGGCAAGTAACCTTAAAAGTTGGCGCATTTAATAACGATTCCAAAATGGTATAACACTTAGAAGATTACTCGTTAACCTATGCACAATTTTTATTTGAAAAAAGGACCCTTAAGGATAACTGTTTGCACAACAGTGGGCGTCAAAATGCTGCTGATGATGATTTACCTTTACAGCAAATGCTCAAACTGTTTTCCTTCAGCCGCAATACACGCTCGACATCTTCTTAAAAAAGATCGGGTTATTAAACGAGCCAATTCCGCGGTTATTAACAAACTCAGCTGCTTCCAATAGTCTTTGCCGTAGCTTCTACATAACTTACACGAGTGGCACGTAGCAAACCCACATTTGATGAGAGAAGATAAGTCTCAATATCGCTTCAAGATAAACCATTGGACAGGAATTTTAAATGGTAAAATAATCGGTCCGTTTGAGTTCCCAGAGACTTTGACTGCTGAGGTTTATTTAGGTTTTTTGCAAAATCATTTAGAAAATTTATTGGAGGACGTGCCACTGAGTATTTACAGGGACATGTTGTTCCAGCATGATGGCTGCCCAGCGCACTATGCACTCTCAATGAGAGAGTATCTCGATCAAAACTTTCCAGGCAGATGGATAGGGCGGTCTGGTACAATACCGTGGCCAGCCCGGTCACCAGATTTGAATCCATTAGATTTTTTTTACTGGGAAACTATAAAAGAAAAAGTGTATTTCAAGCTGATTCAAAATGTAACTGAGCTACGGCAAAGACTATTGGAAGCAGCTGAGTTTGTTAATAACCGTGGATTCGCTTGTTTAATAACCCGATCTTTTTTAAGATGTCGATCGTGTATTGCGGCTGAAGGAAAACAGTTTGAGCATTTGCTGTAAAGGTAAATCATCATCAGCAGCATTTTGACGCCCACTGTTGTGCAAACAGTTATCCTTAAGGGTCCTTGTGCGTTTTCATAATCGCTGTTTAATTAGGAAATTTTGAAAAATTTTCATCAGTTTTTCTTCAAATAAAAATTGTGTATAAGTTAACGAGTAATCTTCTAAGTGTTATACCATTTGGAATCCTTATTAAATGCGCCAACTTTTAAGGTTACTTACCAAACTCTCGTAGTACATTTTTTTCCAGTACAGCCAGTTAAAGTTGACCAAAGTTTTACTTTGGAATACTTGGTTGGGAAATAAGTGGCAATTTTTCCTGAACGAGAAAAGTTGGCAGTAACGTTGAGACAACAGTTTGAAGATGCATTATTCATCATTACATTGTAAAAATAAAATCCAAAAAAAGTTAATATTTGTAGTAACAGGAGTTGACAGACTGCCGTAGGGTGTGAAATTTCTATATTTTTTTCAAAGACCTATAAGTTTCAAAACACATACATAAAATTTTTTAAATATTTTTCTGATAGCTGTTATGACTTTGCCTATCACCCGGTATCGGCTTGACGTCGACTTCTGGGACACCCTGTATGTTTGATATTATTTTTGGCATTGTAATATTTTTTCTTTTCATCTCGTAGAATTCCAGTCTCTTTTTAATACTTCTCGTCTGATTATTTCATGATGTTCATAGAGATGAAAAACCACTTTTATGGAAGAATACAACGGTTGATTAATAATTGAGAATTTGCTGCACAAAGGGGTTTCAAGAAAATCGGAGATCATACGAAGAGACAAAGTGAAATATTCACATACAATTTCAGAGCTGTGTACTAATATTTGTAAACAAGTTACCATTGAAGAAAAAATAAATATAAATGCTTTTATTGACAAAAAAATTGATAGAATCGTTTTTTAGTATATATTTATTCACATGAAATGATCAGATGAACAGGATTTAGAAACAGGTAGTTGAATAAATGCGAAAAAGAATGATGTGCGACCTTTGATTTATATTCGCTATTTCGCACAAGTATTCGGCATTCAAGTAACATCTGAATACAAGCAAAAACATACCTTTTAAGTTTGATATTGGATTTTTTTGAAACAGCTCTTTTTTCTGTATATAACAAGTTCACTGTTTCTAGGTTGAGAGAAGGAAGAAGACGGAGGCCACAACATCGCTTCATGGACAGGGAGGAATCGTAAATTTCTAGGAAAGATTAAAACTGTGCCATAGTCTTTAATATACTTAATTTTATCCAGGAATTTTTGTTATCAACAAACTGTACTATTCCCCAAACAGTTGTTGAAAGAATCTCACTTTAATCTGCAAAGCTTTCATTTAAAAAATGCAGACATAATGTTTCCAAACTTACTTGATTCCTGGATTAAATATTGTACAAATGTCTGTGTATAAAGTATAATTGTGCTAAGATTTTATAATATAGATATTTAAGAATGAATGTTCGATTTCGGCGAGCCTGAGGCCAAGACTTGTTCATCGGGTCTTATAACTTCTGAAGCTTGAAGCCCTATTAGATCATTTTTCTGTCATTATGAACTTTTGATTTCCATGACTACATCTGAATTGTCAGAAAAATTTCCAACTAAATTACATCCATTTCACCGTACTTTTAATCTCTAAGCAAATAACATTGCTTTCATTTGTTTAATGTCCTGTATATCTTAAATTGTCGAAAATAACGTATCGGAAAAATGTTGTTAGTGTATTTTGAGTATTTATGGATTTATTTTTATAAAAAATAAAATTGATATTTATATTGATTGCATTTTCGTATGTTGAATATAATCTAAATTTTGCAGTTTTTGAGAAACTGGTCGTTCATTAAAATTATGTTAAAATGTGATCAAAAATACTATATTACACCCACTGCCATATGCTACAACTTTCTTGTAAAAATTAATTTAGTTTTCTAAATAAAGGATTTTATAAAAATTACTACCGTCATTTATGCTTATTTGACCTATCGTCAAACAGGAACCTTTTGCCTTCCGCAGGTATCAGAACTAGTCCCCCTTCTATTTTCTCAGTTGATGAGCACTTTGAGACTATGACGCCACTCGGATAGTTAATAAATTAGTTTGTAATGATAAAGTAATGTGTTCAATAAAAGGTAGGGTACGGAATAATGTTATTATTATTACTTACGCTACCGTGTGTTACAAAAGCCGCGTTCATATTTAACAATCCAGTCTAGTGAAAGTAAAATATGTCACGGAAGACAGCCTACAACATTTGACACTAATGTGGAACGTGCTACGTAACAACGCGCACTGTTAAACATGAATGACGCGAAAATTTCTTGAAGAGCGACTTTAAAGCTATTTTGAGTTTGACATTTGATAGTTCCCCTACTAAATTTCTATGATTTCTTTTATACAGGCTGACTTCGAAGTTGAGTCATTTATTTTAACAGTGAGTAGATCTGATCAAAAGAAATGTCTTTTTCCTTTACCATTTTTCTGGTAAAATTAAAGTAAGAAAGTTATAGCCCTTTGGAAGTTTGAGTACCGCCCTGTCTCAATAATAATATTATGTGCTCGTGTTTAGCAACAACGGATATAATCCGCCTTATCGGTTCATCGCATCGGAAACAAAAAAGCGAAAGAATTTGGAACGATGTTTTTACAATTATTTTATTCAGTTGTATACAGTGTCAGTCGGTAACGCGTGAGTGAATAGTGGTGTCTGTTGCGTGGCTCAAACGAAATCAAAAATGGCACATGTTTACGAAAATGCTGAACTTGTGGACATGATTTTTATTTACGCGGCATCACGGATTTATGCGGATCGGTTTCCCAATCGAGTGCAATCAACCCCTCGTGCCTTTGTTAATGTAGTACAAAGGGCTCGTGAATCAGGCGACTTAAGACCTCACAGGGGAGGGCATGCCGGTGCTCCAAGACCGCACGATCAAATACAGGTACGCACTGAAATACTTGTCGGGAGAATACTTTATAAAACAAGATAACATTTTTTTTTATTTTTTTTTTATTTTTACACACATATTTTGGTATAGTCAAACATCGACGTGTATAAATATGTATATTACGTATGTATAAACATGAAATATACATTCACCAGCTCTTTGAGATCGTATCGTACAACTTGTAGGTACATAATATTTTGTATAGACTTAAAGATACGCTACCGCTAAACCGCCCTATCTCTGCATTTATCCTGCACCGCATCTTCGCAACAATTTTTGTCTTCGCACCGGCAAATCTTCTTGTATTCGACCAGTCGAAAAGCGCGAATCAGTTGCGAAATCTCACGGAAAAAGTAACCGATGCCTTCCGCGATCGGGCTCAACAAATCGCGGCAGGATGTGGCGACGTTGTACATGAAGATCATAGGAGGCTGGACGAATGCGTTAAACAGTGTCGCCAAGAAAGGCTTGAAGAAATAGTCGGACAGAAGCTGGATGAGGCCTACAGATAGAGGGCGGACTATGCTGTACAGGAGGAACCTGAAAAATAAAGCAAACAGTTTTTATATTCCACTAAGTAGCGATATGGCATTTACCTTAGCAGTTGCAAGATGAAAGACGTCACAAACGATATTCCTATGTGCACCGTTCCAAACATTTCTGCCCAGAATTTCGTCGTGTACGCTTCAGTTTTTTCGGCTAATATCTCAGTAGTTATGATCGGAGGATTGTCTGTCGTACGTAAGAAACTGGAATGAAAACAAAGTCACAGAATGTCTTTTAGATGACGATGACAATAGTACATTTGCCTTTTGGACAATCATTGTTTGAAACTACGTGCTCTGGATCTGTGATATCTAAGGAATAATGCAAAGTTCGGAATGATCAAAAAACACCAATACTTGCTACATTAAAAGAAAATATTACCTGGAGTCTCCATGGTCAAAATAATATACATCCATTCTAGTAGCAAGGTTGTCGGGTTCAGACGTGCAAATGAATTTTTCGTTCATCATCCTTCCAGGATCTTTATCTTTTCCATCATCACAACGCAAGTCCGCATTCCTGAAAGACTTTCGTTCTGATATCATCGCTGCATTACACCTGTAATATATTAATAACCGTTTGAAACTATTTTTTTAATGGCTGATAAAGGCAAATTTCAACAAGCAAAATTACAATTGAAATTGGTCGTACCGATGTCTAAAAGAAAAACGCTCAAGATTTCTTCCTACCTATTTTTGTGTTCCTTCATGTGAGTCAGTGAATGTGGCGTGTCAAAATTATCACGGCATTCTGGAGAATATCTTGGACGTCTGGTACTACATTTCGGACTACGGTCTGCTAATTCAAACACCAGTCTCTGGAATAGTTTGCTTTACTGTGATATTTTCATGAAAAAATTACGAATTCACCTACTACCCGACTTCGACTACTGTTATAGACAAAATTACCGCCTATATGAAAAACTGGTCGTTACGACCACTCCTCTTAGCTCGCTATTCAATGCACTAGATAACAGAAACAAAAAATGGAAAATATTCCTTTACCTTTGGCTTATGGGTTATTTTGGAATGTTTCACATTCATGGTGTAATATTGGACCTTCTTGTTATTTTGCTGGCCGTTTTTGAGATATTTGAAGATACTCTGAAACATGCTACCCCTTCTTGGAGAAGACTTCTTGCCATATTTGGATTTACTTTTGCCTGAAAAAAGATCTCGTTGAAAAATTAAAGAATTAAGGAAATATAAAGATATTTGATTAATGTTATATGTTCTTATTGTATTCAACAATCAGTTACTGCTCACTTATGACAAATTAAATCACGTAGGGTTTTTTGCAAAGATCATGATGGAAATAGAAAAGTGAAACCACTTTAAAGCGCATAGAAGGATCTTGGAGATAGGTGACTTTCATCTTTGTTCATATTTTTGATATTTTGACTCGGAAGAAGTATAAAAGTATGTTTTTTATTTTGTTCAAGATATAGTATCCAGTACCCTGTCTTGGTATGGGACCCGTAAATAAAAATTAAAGAAAATTTTAAATAATGTTCCAGTACCATCTTCTGTTGTTAAATTTTTACCAAAGGCAAAGTAGAGCCTCGTATTTCGTTGTGACCTAGGGCCTCTTCAGTAGCAGAAGCCTCGTATCTGCCCAGAAACAAATACAAAGCTAGTTGGATAATTTCTGAGACGAATGAGAAATGTCCGTCCTCTGTAAAAGGCAATACTAGTAGTAGTAGCTGAAAATGCAAATCTTGAGCGTCTTAAAACTATGGATATCATGCCTTTATCGCCTCCATCTTCCATTTGCGCTTTCCTACCCTGGTACGGTTCATCGTAGTCCATCTTCTGCACTCGCTGTTGCAAGTAACTGATCATCTGTGGACACATGCACTCCGAATTGAACTGTACGTTGGCGGGCAGAAATGGCGGTGGACAGATGAATTCAGGGGTTGACTCAGGGGCCAGCGGGCTCGACACCTTGGTCACTTCCATCGAGGCGCTCATCTCAGGAGCCGTTGTTGCGTCTTCTGTGTGCTCGCAAGTGCAACCGGTGTCCGAGCAGGTGCAGTCTTTTTTGCACGGATCCGATTTTTCGTTCTGAAAATAGTTATCTATTTGTACAAACAGGTCTAATTTTTCGCTGCCCTTTTCAGGTGAAATGTCGCTTACCGTAATTCCTGAATATGTCAACTCATTGGTGCGTTCGGTGTCGGCCGTATTACTGAAACTACCGTCAGGAAGCTTCGGTGTTGCGGGCCCCATGAGCTCAATAACAGTTTGCACCTCTTGTTTGATCTTTGCGATATTTTCGCTACACGAACACGTATCAGGATCATTTGTGTCTACTACGTTCACGCCTTTATTTTTCTGTCGATTTTCCTTTTCATCTCTCGGTTTCATCCGTATAAAAGTTCAAAAATGTATAACAGCAGATATATGGTTGTCAAATATGTGTCAGTATAAAGACGCAAGGCAAGTAGAAGAAAGTGTACGATCATGGAAATTGAATAATGCTTCGTACACAGCAATAGCGATAAAATAATTCTGCTGTTCTATTAGCGGACTGATTATTTCCGAAAGATATTTCGATAATTTCAGCTCTTTTTGCTGTAGAATATTCCATGGTTAATTTATGTAATAAAGCGTTACAAGTTATTTTGGCAACAAAGTTTAGTCAAATCAATCGCAAACTATGTACTAAATTCCTATTTAAAATAAGTTCGAGATATTTCCTTATCTTTCTTCAAGAAATATCTTTCTCCAATAGCTATTTTCAACAACAAAATGATAAACAAACCATGAGCGTAGTGAAGAAAAGCATTTACTTAATCAGTAAATTCTTTTAGTCAAGCTTTAAATCAATAAATCTTCAAAACTACTGAACTGAAGCTCATGTATTTTACATCATTATAAAGGGAATTGAAAGACCTTTAAAATAAGGTAAGACTCGACCCCCCCTTTCCATTTAAGATTTTAGGATTGGTGTCACTCCCGCCCAGAGGGCTGCACGTGCTAACGTGATTTTTTGCCAAACTTGTGTCCCCCTCGAAAACAACATCGACGGGTCTGAGCGTTTTTCCAAAAAAAAACTGAGCTGCCAGTAAATGCGTCTGTTTCGATACTATAGATACTACAGGGTGTCCGCAAAGTTGGGGTTTTCCTTTCCAGAAACAACTACCCTTGAAATAACAAAGGTAATGTGTAGTGAAACGAGGGCGACCAAGTAAAAAAAAATAAAGGAAAAAGTACTCACTCTCCAGTTGACGAGAAGGGCTAAGTACGTCTCTGCCTGAAATCGAAAGTTGTTCACCCCATTACGCGTGAACGTAGATTCGTCTGTCACCAATATGCAGTTCAAAAAGTCCGGATTATGGTCATGTTGATGCAACAACCACTCACAAAACCGCAGTCTTGCTGGAAAATCGTCAAGTTGAAGGGCTTGTACACGTTGGACGTGAAACGGATACAGCCTCTCTTCACGTAGCGTTTGCCACACTTTAGTTTTTGATACTTGCACTTCTCTAGCCACGTCTCTAGTGCTTGTTGAGGGATTCTCGTCTACGCGATTACCTCTACACGCGTGACCGTAACCGTCGGTTGAAGGTTGCATACTGACCTGACCCCGACCCAGTTCTGTCGTCGGGTTGGGCCAGTGACCTTGTACCAGTCGGTGATGTCGCGGCTACAGGACGGTATTCAGATATTTTTGATGTTGCAGAGCCCTTTATCTCGGTTCCCTTAAGACATTGGTGTATATGGTACTAAGAAGAATTGCTTATGTTTTCAAGATCTACACGTCGTGTAAAGGAAAACCCCAACTTTGCGGACACCCTGTAACTACATATTTACAGATGTTCTGTCAGCTTGACACTTTGTCAAACAAATAAACTTTAAAAAAAGTCAGGATAATCTTGAAACATGGATAAAAATAAACATAAAAAGACGGATATTGAAAAAGAAGCAAGTATGCTTATGAGACGCTGCAAAGCTAACGACAAGCACAGAATCAAAGCACCGACATTGGAAGAAATTATCGCAACACAACTCACTGATGAACTGATGGATCAATTTAACATAAACAAGCAAAAACGGGAAAAACTGAAGGAATTTCAAGTAATTTCACATTTATCGCATCTTCAAATTGGTAGATTCTAAAACCTGCATTTCTTTTTCCAGTCAGAATTTACTAAGAAGACTAAACTGAAAGAGTTCAAAACCCGACTAGTCCCTCTATACCCCGAAGTCCCTACGAAGAACGATTGTCACAAGAAGATAAGATATTATTCAGAGCTTTGTCCGTATTCAGATATGACAGCTATACTTGAATCGGCTTTGAGAAACAGAGTCAGAGCCAGAGGTTTGGAACTTAAGTATCCTAGCATCATAGATAACATCGTGGCCAGCGCCAAAGAGGAGTTTTTTGAAGTTACGCATAACGCGGGGGTAAGAGCATAATACAGAATGGGGCATCTGCGAACCTTTCGTGCTCAATTAAATACTATGTATGTTATATTCAGGTGAACTTGAAGACGAAACCGATGAACATCGAGGAATATAACAGAACGAAAATAGAACCGTACAAATACCTGGGCAGATCGGACCGATACCAAGTCTACTTGTGGACCAAGAACGAATTTCAATTGCGATTTATGCTACATTTGCCTTTAGTCCAAAGGATTTTCAAGGATTGTATTACCGTGCTACCTCAGACTTTATTTAATATCAGTACATTGAGGAGCAAACCGTACGATATTAAAGACCTGGACGATATTTTTAACCGGTATATAAGCGATGCGGAGGTTATTTTGAAGAGATTCTACTACAAAATTGTTGAAATGGTTTGTAACAAGACAAAAACATTATACTGCGCATAACCAAAAATAATAATTAAACTTGTAATAAGGACGACCACCTTCCTATTTTGACTGTCATGTCAGATTATAGCCAAAAAAATAGTAGTTTCGTCGCGGTTCCGATTCGGGATTGATTCTGAACCACTTCGCATGCGCACTTCAAAAATCGGCGTTCGCGGTAGAAACACCTGGAAGCTGTCAATAGTGTCAATCGAATAGCAGTTTGGCAACAGCACAAAATAGAGGGCAAATTGGCAACAGTGTTGAATACGTAAACAGTTCCAAAGTCGAAACGAAAATCTCGAACTAGAAAATAACTGGACATGCGCATTTGTGTAATTCTGGATGGTTCAGTTTTAGTTCCGAACCGGTTCATTTTTTGAGCCGCGAACGCAACTATTTCAATTTCGAAATTTTTCACGATTACAATACAGCGCAGGAAATAAAAATTAATATGAATTTCAGGTAGAGGTGGACGACACCAAATTAGAGCCGTACCTATACAAAAGAATGTTGAAAGTGTGTACTGGCATTTTGGCGAAATACTTCAGCATAGCGATCATGAACACGATGGAGCACATCCGTGAAGTCACTGGCAATGATAGCTTGATCCCTTATATAAAATTATCGCTAAAGTACAGCGAAACATTGGTTCTATTTCCTAATGATAATGACGTCATACTCATCTACTCTATGTTTGTGTCAAAACTGGTGGACATTGGAAGAACATTTCTCGTTTTGGAGACGGTCAGTTGGAAAATTTGAAAATACGAAAATTAGAAAATTCCTTAATTTGAAAATTCAAAAATTCGGAATTTCGAAAATTCGAGGATTCGAAAATTCGAAAGTCGAAAAGTCGTGAAGTCGTATAGCTGAAAAACCGTAAACGGTCGCAAGCTATCGTCAGCTATCGCAAACTATCATAAATTATCGTAAACTGACGTAAACTGACGTAATCTATCGTAAACGATCTTGAACTGCCTTAAACAGTCGTGAACTATCGTAAATGGTCCTAAACGGTCATAAGCTATCGTAAACTATAGTAAACTGTCGTAGACTGTCGTAATCTAAACTATCGTAAACTATTGTAGACTATGGTAAAATATCGTAAACTGTCGTAAACTACCGTAAACTGTCTTAAACAGTCGTAAACTATTGTAAATATTCGTAAACGGTCGTAGTCACTCGCAATCGGTCTTAAACTATCGTAAGCTGTCGTAAACAGTCGAAAAAGTCGGAAAATTCGAAAATTTGAAAATTCGAAAATTTGAAAATTTGAAAGTCGAAAGTCGAAAAGTCGTGAAGTCGTATAGCTGAAAGACCGTAAACGGTCGCAAGCTATCGTCAGCTATCGCAAACTATCATGAATTATCATAAACTGACGTAAACTGGCGTAATCTATCGTAAACGATCTTAAACTGTCTTAAACAGTCGTGAACTATCGTAAATGGTCCTAAACGGCCATAAGCTATCGTAAACTATAGTAAACTGTCGTAGACTGTCGTAAGCTAAACTATCGTAAACTATTGTAGACTATGGTAAACTATCGTATACTGTCGTAAACTACCATAAACTGTTTTAAACAGACGTAAACTATTGTAAATATTCGTAAACGGTCGTAGTCGCTCGCAATCGGTCTTAAACTATCGTAAGCTGTCGTAAACAGTCGAAAAAGTCGGAAAATTCGAAAATTAGAAAATTCGAAAGTCGAAAGTCGAAAAGTCGTGAAGTCGTATAGCTGAAAGACCGTAAACGGTCGCAAGCTATCGTCAGCTATCTCAAACTACTATAAATTACCGTAAACTGACGTAAACTGGCGTAATCTATCGTAAACGATCTTAAACTGTCTTAAACAGTCGTGAACTATCGTAAATAGTCCTAAACGGTCATAAGTTATCGTTAACTATAGTAAACTGTCGTAGACTGTAGTAAGCTAAACTATCGTAAACTATTGTAGACTATGGTAGACTATCGTAAACTGTCGTAAACTACGGTAAACTGTCTTAAACGGTCGTGAACTATCGTAAATGGTCCTAAACGGTCATAAGCTGTCGTAAACTATAGTAAACTGTCGTAGACTGTCGTAAGCTAAACTATCGTAAACTATTGTAAACTATGGTAAACTATCGTAAACTGTCGTAAACTACGGTAAACTGTCTTAAACAGTCGTGAACTATCGTAAATGGTCCTAAACGGTCATAAGCTATCGTAAACTATAGTAAACTGTCGTAGACTGTCGTAAGCTAAACTATCGTAAACTATTTTAGACTATGGTAAACTATCGTAAACTGTCGTAAACTACGGTAAACTGTCTTAAACAGTCGTGAACTATCGTAAATTGTCCTAAACGGTCATAAGCTATCGTAAACTATAGTAAACTGTCGTAGACTGTCGTAAGTTAAACTATCGTAAACTATTGTAGACTATGGTAAACTATCGTAAACTGTCGTAAACTACGGTAAACTGTCTTAAACAGTCGTAAACTATCGTAAATATTCGTAAACGGTCGTAGTCGCTCGCAATCGGTCTTAAACTATCGTAAGCAGTCGAAATAGTCGGAAACTTGAAAACCTAGAAAATCTTTCAAAAAATTCGCATTTTGATTCAGGTGCGAATAAGGGACTATCCATCCAAAACCATCCGTCTGAATGTTACAGATGAGTATTTCAATGATATTCTAGAAGTAATTGGAGAGAATATCATGAATATGTTCATTCCAGTTAATGAGTACATGAGCAAGCTAGAAGAGGACTTCCAGGTAGATTTTTTTACAAACGAAAGCCAACTTTTCTCATTCACCATTGAACACTATTGAATTTCAGGAAATATTTCGGAGGTTCACTAAAGTCGATGAGACCAACGCATTTAAGACAGGTTTGAGTCAGATAAAACATTACCAGAATTACATGAACAAGGTAAAGGTCATCTTTTATTAAAATATCAAGATGAAATGTATCGAATGATATCAATGCACAGGTCGGATCTATGTTAAGCAGCGAATACTTTGGCATAGGACAATTGGTCCTCTCAGAATACGTTCAGTCCATGCGAGAGTCCCTCTCTGAAGTAATAGAAGACCTGTTTTTAAAACTGTGCACGCTGCACGAGGAAGAGAACGAGGATATTTGCGACTGTTTTGAAGCTATAAAAGCTGAAGCTTTGAGAAGACCAGCTACAAGCGAAGAACTGATTGCTCAAGGTATCAAAATGTTGAACGAAAATATTATTTGTGATTGCATTTATAAGAACGGTGCCGCTCTCGAAGCATGTTTGTCTTAGCAGATAAATGATTTTTGTAGGAAAATATATGATATGGGTGAAGACAGTCCATTTGATCGAGCTACGAGAAAGAATTCAAGCTATGCTGTACAACTTGACAGATCTCATACTATACGGTACGTTAGAGAAAGAGCACATGGAGCTGAATGCGAAGACGGTGAACTGGTTGACCGAAATCGAACCGATCTTGAACATAAACTCCAGTATGTACGAGCAGCTCAAGTTTGAGTCAGAAGAGAAGCTAACGAGCACGATCACTTACGTGAATACGTCAATTGACACCTTGATTCCGTTGCTCGGAGTCTTGAATGAAATGGACGACTATGAAAGGTACAACGAGTCAATCTACTTGACATTTGTTGTTTTCATTTCCTACGCCTACTGGTGACCAAACAAAAAGTGCCGACACTTTATTTTTTGACGTTTCAGATGCCCCTGATCATTTTCTGATTTATTTTATTGATGGCGGTGAAAAAATGGGTTGACCGACGAACACTGCAACAGCGCAATTGTGCACCAGCTGGAGATATTTCAGGAAATTTGTTACTTTCTCCAATGTTGCTGTGAAAGATAAGGTGTTATCTGAAATGGAATTCAAACAAAATAATGAAAGGAAACTATGAATTTTATTTTGTTGCCTCTGATAGACGAACTGACGCTAAATTTGTTTGCGGCCTGCGGGTAGACGTAAGATTCAACTGATTTTTTTCCAGGGGAGGCCAAATAATGCATAAATAAAATTACCCAATTAACCCAATTAAATCCGTCCCCATAACACATATCACAAAAACGTTCAAGAATTCTCAAACGAAAGCGAAGAACTCGCAAACATCTGTAATAAATAATCGAACATTCTTCACTTTCTCATTTTCTGCTTGCGTGTTGGCCGGAAGAGGGCGCAGTATCGGCAATGTTGCCGCGTTGCTAATTTAACAGACCATTACATCAACTCTGATAGGTGAAAATAACACAGCCACCGTTTTTTTTAGCTGACTGCCTTAGAAGGAAAGTTGTGTTTTACATGGATAAAAAACTGTTCACGGCTAATTTTTTTTCTCAGGTGTAGGGAATACGTGAACGCCATAAAGCTCCACATGGTCCAAATGCGAGATTTGCGTCAGAAGATCACATGGATCAACAAGGAACAACTTTGCCTGGGTTTCAACGTGTCGCCGTTCAAAAACGTCGAGGAGGTCCAGAATTTCGTGTATCCTTTTTTCCATTTGCTGAAAATTTGCATGAACATCAAGAGGCACATCGACGTGTGGCTGGATGGGCAATTTGAGTTTTTGACCTACGAGGAGACTGAAGAGCAGGTTGAGGAGTATATGAAGGAGTTATTGAAGATACAAAAGACCTATCGGATCAAACTGAGGTACGGTGATCAAAAGTGTCATTACATCATTTCTTAAAAGAATTTGAGTTTCCAAATGAGAAAATTTTCAGTTTAGGATCAATAAGTATGGCCCCTTTGGTTCTAAAGTGTGTGATCCATTACAATTCTTTTTTAAGTTTAAAAATTGATAAACATACAATCCTTCATTGTATACGTGAAAATATCGTGTTTATACATATATTGTATTGCACTTCCTATTATTATTATTATTATTATTATTACTATTATTATTATTTGAATTTCAGACAAGCGCAAGCCGAGAACACATCAATCCGTTTCTTCGGCGTCGTGGACGATCCGGATCTGTACAGTTGGCCAGCACCATTGAAACTGGCCGCAAACGCCATCCAAGCTTTGAAAGACTTCCGACCGGCCATGACCATAATGCGCATCATGTGCAACGATGCCCTGGTGAAGCGTCACTGGAAGGAGATGTCCGCCATTGCTGGATTTGAACTAGCTCCGAACGCCGGATCGTCGCTAAGGAAATACACCCGAATGGGTCAGTAGTACAGTCAAGTTGAAAAAGGAAAAAATAGCATGTGCTTTGCACGCTCTGGTATACAATAATAATATAATTGAACTGTTATTTTTTCGAAGAATCGGTTTTGATAGCTTTCATACGACTTAGCATCGTTACATCATCATGTCGTAAAAACGACAAATTTCGGTCTCGTCGGGCTGGTTGTCTGAAGCGCTGCCTTGGCGCTCTGTAATGGTACGCCTCGGTGGATCAGTGTTCCATTACCTTCTTTTTTCCACACACAACACACACGCATTACCGTCATTACAGTACGATTAACACGGCGGCGAATTTCGCGATAGGACAAACCAACATCTCGATAGGCAACAATTCTACCCCTGTCAAAACCTCTAACATGGTGTTCATTTGGACGTCTTCGAACTCGGTGTATTTTATTATGTTTGACACTAGTAAATGAAAGGGCAATAACTAAAAATATCTGTACTATTCAACTCTCAGAGGCTGCTTTCTTCACGAAAACTAAGAGATAACATTTTAACGAAGGTAGTATAATACTTTCCCACCAATAGCCTAGGAATTAATAACAAGCTGAACATGGTTATTCTCTTTGTCGTTCACAATAATCTATATAGTAATGTCAAGCACCAATATGGTTTTCTTCGACTTCCTAAATTGTGGTTTTTCCTACAGGTTTGGAACCTGACTTGGAAAAATATGACGTAATAAGTTCGGCGGCCACTAAAGAACGTGAGCTGTTCAGGAACTTGACAAAGATGCAAAACGAATGGGCCGATATATTGTTCAAGACAGGGACGTTCAAAGATACTGGCATTGTTATTTTGACAGCCCTTGATGATATCCAGGTACATATTTTCAAAAAAAAATATTGCCCGTGAATATATTGAGTAAGTGTTTTGTAATATGTTCATGTATTTGTTTGAGAAATAGGTGGTTTTGGACGACCACATCTTGAAAGCGCTTACCATGAGAGGCTCCATTTTTGTGAAACCGTACGAAATGGAGGTCAGAGCATTTTACGACAGGCTAGTTAGGATCAACAAGACGATAGATGAATGGGGAAAAGTCCAGAGTCAGTGGTTGTATTTACTGCCAATTTTTTCGTCTAAAGATATTGTGGCTCAGATGCCTGAAGAAGGTACACTTTTCAAAGAGGTATGTATGCGCAAATTACTTCTTTGTCGCTTGAGTAATATACAGGGTGGCCCATCCATGTGAATTAAATACGTGTTATGACTCGCGTTCATATCTCTCTTGTAATCGCCAAAGGATGTTAGAGAAATACTTCAGTAACTTTTGTAGAGTAGCTTTTATTGAGGCATCAGCAACAGTTGAGAACAGAAGAACAAGTAACGAAATGAGTACAGAGAATAGTCAAAGACCCTTTTTATATTCTAGGATTAGAGTTACGAATTTTCCAGAAATCAGTAGTGTCGGGTAAAAATGCAAGCATCTTTACATCCTGTCTTTCGAGTATGGAACGGTGTTATACTCGTAGGGACTTGGATGGTGTTAATGCTTTAAGGTAATGGCATCAGGATACCATAACTCATCCCCACGGTGAAATATGCAATACAATTTGAGGCATTCCATTTAAAAAATCACGACTTTGATACGTAGGTCAGAATTGGGACAATCTGTATAATTGCCAATATTACATATTACAGCCTTAGTAACTTGACGATAGCAATGATTTTTCAGGTGAATGATACGTATAAGCGATACATAGACGTAGTGGTCAGAGATGCGAGGGTATTTGAAACAGCTGGATCTCCTGGTGTGCTCGAGGCGATGGAGCACTGTAATGAACTACTCGAAAAGATCAACGACGGTGTGACGAGCTATTTAGAAAAGAAACGGCTCTTTTTCCCAAGGTATACAGGGTGTTGCATATTTTGCGGGGAATTTTATTCAAAAGCTCGCATTCTTGTGCAGGTTCTTCTTCCTTTCAAACGACGAAATGCTGGAAATACTCTCGGAAACGAAGGATCCCTTGCGAGTACAGCCGCATTTGAAAAAATGCTTCGAGGCAATAAACAGATTGGAATTCAATGAGAATTTGGAAATTTTGGCAATGTTCAGCATGGAAAATGAAAAGGTCCGACTGTGAAATCGGTGACAGTTTTTCAGCCCACAATCACAAACGATACTTTTCAGTCGATGCGCTAACAGAAGAATTTGTTACGTTGTAGGTCAATTTAAAGGCGAAAGTAAACACGAAAGATGCTGGTGGAAGCGTAGAAAAATGGCTGGTGCAAGTGGAGGACCAAATGGTTGTATCGGTCAAAGACCAAATTTTGAAAAGCTTCAAGAGTTACTTTGTGTTACCTAGAACAACTTGGGTGCAGAAATGGCCTGGACAGGTTGACCATAATTATTAGCAATTATTGTCCACTAAATGAAAACGTTGAATTTCAGGTGGTACTTTGTGTATCGCAAATGCATTGGACATACGATGTGCACAGAGCTCTCAATAACGAAGATCTGACGGTTTCTAGATTAGTCGGTAAAAGCAGATTGCATCCATATGAATGGTCCATTCGGAAACAATTGACCCTCATTTTTTTTCAGAAATGCTTCGAGTGCAACTGCAGGAGATAGTAGATGTGGTGAGAAGTCCCGCAATTTCAAATTTAGCGCGAATCACGATAAAAGCGCTGATCGTGATCGACGTTCATGCCAAAGACGTCGTCGAAGATCTTTACTCGAAAAAAGTGTCCAACGACAAAGAGTTCAAGTGGCAGTCGCAGATGCGGTACTATCTCGAAGACGACGAGGCTCTCGTCAGGCTCGTCAATGCTACGGTCAAGTACGCCTATGAATACTTAGGTAACGTTGGATCCGCGATGGTATTGTACCAAATAATACAGAGTTACCGGTAGATGGGGCGCTCCGTCGAAAAAAACAGGTCCTGCCGCGGTGGCCGAAATGCTACTTGCCATTCGGATGCGATTCATTACATGGGCAATAGTCCAGGAAATGTTTTCCCATCTGCTCGGACAAATATACTGATTAGGTTTTTTGCACAACCTTAATCAAAAAAACAATTTTTGACGGTCTGCCAAAATGCAGATTCATTGCCTGTCTTAAGGGTTTTTTTTTAATGAGATTATGGGAAATAATTAAACTATACTAAGTGACATATAAATCCGAACACCCAGTTTAAATGGTTTTATTTTAATAAAAGTTGGTGAATTTATTTATCTTACTGTAAATGACAAGTGAAAAAATTTTCAGCCTTATCAGCTGGACATTCCGGTTTTTATACTGCTTTTTTTTAATTCACTAAGGCTCTAAAAATGAATATTTCAGCCGCAGTGAAGAATCAACGTTGGCGGATTTTGGTTCTTGACATCCTTTACGATCGGTTACGATGCCTAGAGTACGGAGACCTGTACGATTTCGTCAACTTAGTGAGTTTGATAGGGGCCGTATAGTGGGACTTCGGGAAGCTGGACTTTCTTTTCGGGCAATTGCAGTTAGAGTGCAAAGAAGTGTAGACACTGTGGTTAGGTGTTGTCAGGCATGGCTTCGAGAAGGCCGTACGCAAAAAGCAAGGTGCACTGGACGCCGCCGTAGAACAACAGACCGTGAAGATCGCCGCCTAAGATTATTGGCCTTAAGGGACCGTTTCTCCACTACCAGGTCCGTTGCAAATGAATGGTTTGCAGAACACGGAAGACCTATTGGCATGCGAAGTGTTTACCGACGAATGAGAAGTTTTGGCTTGTTTTTATACCGGCCACACTGGGTCCTCCTTTTAACTCGAGAACACCGACGTAATCGCCTTGAGTGGTGCAGACAACGGTCACTCTGGGATCAGGAATGGAACAGTATTGTCTTTAGTGACGAGTCTCGATTTTGTTTAGGCATGCACGATGGTCGTGCCAGGGTTAGAAGGCGACGTGGTGAAAGGAGGAATCCACAGTTTTTTGTTGAAAGACATGTTCATCACACTGTTGGAGTTATGGTTTGGGGTGCTATAGCTTATGGTTCCAGGTCACCTTTAATCTTCATCAGAGGTAACATGAACGCGCAGCGTTATATCCACGAAGTTCTAGATCCCCATCTTTTATCCTATCTTGACACCCTGGCATATCCAACTTTCCAACAAGATAATGCCCGACCACATGTTGCAAGAGTCACAATAGACTTCTTTCAACATAATGATGTCACATTGTTACCATGGCCACCAAGATCTCCCCAATTGAGCACGTGTGGGATATGATGGGTAGAAGATTGCTCAATTTGCAACGTCCTCCTCAGACTCTAGAAGCACTTCGAGAGGAGTTGGTGGTTGCCTGGAATGAGATACCACAGGAGAACATTGACCACCTGATCAGAAGCATGCCTAGGCGCGTTGGAGAATGCGTAGCACATCAGGGTGCATCCACACATTATTAAAGGTCAAAGGGCTTTAAAGCAGTGCAATCATTTTGAATTTTTTATCATTTACTTATTATGCTTCATTAAGTACTTATACAAAATTTTATTAAAATAAAACCATTTAAACTGGGTGTTAGGATTTATATGTCACTTAGTATATTTTTCTAAGTAAATGCCAAGATACTTCCTATACTGTAACTGCCGAGGTAGTCGATGGCCGACATCTGATCCCGTTGGAAGTGGATCGCGTGACTGTTGGATGTGTTTAGGGCGATTCAATGTGACAAGCTGGTGTTCCGCGCTTAGATGCAAAATAAATGAGGGAAATGGTGTTCCGTTAATAATTTTGGGCAAACGTTCATCTTCCAGCATATTGGGAATCCGAACACAGAAGCTCAGGTCGAGGTGTAATTGACGAAGGAGGTCCATCCAAAGTTTATCGATGATTCATGAGTGCACCATTGTCAAAAACACGATTTCACGAAAATTTGATGTGGATTCGAGTGCTTAGAACAATGACGGCGTCAAATGCTTTTTCGCGATTGTCCCTTTTACTGGTATCTTTGTATCCTCTGCTTATGCTAACTCGAGATATATTGTTAGGTAATTCTGACCGTTTGGTGATCACCCCGTTGACGGATCGGTGCTATCGCACCCTGATCGGAGCGTATCATCTGCATCTGAACGGAGCTCCCGAAGGTCCAGCGGGCACCGGGAAAACGGAGACCACCAAGGATCTGGCGAAGGCGATCGCCGTACAATGTGTCGTCTTCAACTGCTCTGATGGTCTCGATTACAAAGCGATGGGGAAATTCTTCAAAGGGTTGGCCTCTTGCGGAGCATGGGTGTGCTTTGACGAGTTCAACAGGATCGACATAGAGGTATTTTGAACATTTTCAAAATTTGCTTTGGTTTTGGTTGGTCGACTGCAAACTTGTATATCACCAGAAAGCGGGGAGAGTGCCTATTAGGAATGTATCTTGTTCCTACCAGCGCGACTCTACCTATTATACAGGGTGTAAACGTAAAAATAATGACTACCATAGCGTTAACACGCTGTATTTCATACATTACAGATTTCCCCTTACATTTTCCCTTAAAACTTGAATAATAAAAGTAAAGGGTTGTCCAATAGGGACGCAGGAAAGTAAATGTCAATTTGACATAGACGCCATCTTTGTTTTCTGTCACCGACATGTCATTTTGTCAGTTGAATGTTTACCATTGATCGCTATGGAGTCGTATTCGATTGAAGACCGCATTAAAGTTATTCAAGAGCACTACAAAAATAGTGCAAAAATAAGAAACACGTTTCGCGCGCTTCGTGAACATTTCGGTCGCAACAACCGCCCAAACGAAACAACCATCGGTCGTCTGGTGCGTAAATTCGAGGTAACAGGTTCTGTGGCAAATCTGCCAGGCTCTGGCCGGCCAAGGAGCATTCGCACACTGGAAAATATTGCTGTTGTGAAGGAGAGTGTGATAGACGATCCGAAACAATCAACAACGCGTCGATCCCAAGAATTGGGCATTTCGAGAACCAGTTTGCTCCGCATTCTCCACAAGGATTTGAATGTACACGCCTACAAGATCCAATTGAAGCAAGAACTGTGTCGGGCCGACCATTTTTCGCGCCGAACGTTCTCAGATTGGCTCCTTGAACACCGCCAAATTGATGCCAATTTTTCATCAAAAATCATGTTCAGCGACGGAGCGCATTTCACTTTGAATGGGACGGTAAACAAGCAAAACTGCCGCATCTGGGCGAACGAAAATCCCCGTGAGTATCAAGAGCAGCCGATGCATCCTCAAAAAGTGACTGTGTGGTGTGCATTGTGGTCAAAAGGCATCATCGGACCTTACTTTTTCGAAAATGCGGCCGGGGACGCCGTTACCGTCAATTCTGAGCGATATCACGTGATGATAGAGGACTATTTTTTGCCGCAACTTGAAGGAATGGATATGGACGATGTTTATTTCCAACAAGACGGTGCAATATGCCACACAACCAACGTCAATATGCATCGATTGCAGTCCTTCTTCGGTGATCGCGTGATTTCGCGCAGAGGAAATGTGCCATGGCCACCAAGTTCGTGCGATTTGACTGCCTTGTACTTCTTTTTATGGGGATATTTGAAAAGCAAAGTCTACGTCAACAAACCAGCCACCCTCCAAGAACTCAAAAACAACATCATTGCCGAGATAAATGCCATAGAACCGACCATGTTGCAAAATGTTATTGAAAATTTCGACCATCGCGTGGACGTCTGTAAATCCAGTCGTGGTGAACATTTGGGCGACATTATTTTTCATACATAAATGGTATAAATGAACCTTCAAAATAAAGTACCCAACTTGATTTGAATATCAATCTTTCTTGTTTTAATATGCGTTTACTTTCCTGCGTCCGTTTTGGACAACCCCATATATTTTCGATATGCGCGTATGAAATAATCTAACGAACGAACTCTCGAATGCTGAGGGATAACTGAAATATTGAATGATGATGCGTGTAAGCGTATATATACTTGACGTCAATTTTCCTAAACTGATTTTGAACAAATATTTTCAAGAAGCCTCTTGTCTATAAATCTATAACTTGTAGGTACTTTCCGTTGTTGCGCAACAAATCCTGTCCATCGTGATGGCCGTAAGGGCGCACGCAACAAAATTCAACTTCGAAGGCACCGAGATCACCTTGAATCCGGCATGCTACGTTTGTATCACCATGAATCCAGGTTACGCTGGACGATCGGAGCTGCCGGATAATCTCAAGGTACACACCTGAAACATCGTGCTTTTTCCTATAAAATTGTTTGTATTTCCATTATTTATCTTTTTTTATGAAGGTACTCTTCCGCACAGTGGCAATGATGGTGCCAGACTACGCCATGATCGGAGAAATCTCGCTGTATTCGTACGGGTTCAAAGACGCTCGAAATCTTTCCGTGAAGATCGTCACCGTATACAGACTTTGCTCCGAACAGCTGTCTTCTCAAAACCACTACGATTATGGTAACCGAATACTTGAATCATCTACCGTCTGAGACTTATCCTGTAATTTTCATGTCGATAATACCCCTTGTTTGTTTGGTCCATTAAAGTACACTTGACTGAAACGTTAAAGAAACATTTCAAATACATGCGGTTTCATTGGTCAGACAAACATGGGGGATTATTAACTTTATCATCATTACACATCTCACAAATCCAGATGGATTATGTTCAAGGTATGAGAGCAGTCAAGTCTGTATTGTCAGCTAGCGGCAACAACAAGAAGAAATATCCCGATGAGGATGAAGACATCTTACTATTACGAGCCATTCTGGACGTGAACCTGCCGAAATTCTTAAATCACGATCTTCCTCTTTTTGATGGTAACATTTTCTTAACTAAGTGATGTTTCGTGGATTCATCGTATCATAATTTTTGCGTAGGCATAATCAATGATCTCTTCCCTGGAGTGATATTGCCGAAGGCGGATTATACCGTTTTCACAGAAGCGATGGTTTCCTGCAGCGCGGAACGTAATTTGCAACCAAAAGAATCGTTTCTGGTTAAGGTATCGTTTTTTATATATTTTATAAGAAACCTTTGCGCAAGCATGGGATTTGCTTGCCTTTGCTGACAAGAGGATCGGGGTCAAAGTGTATGTGGAAGATCATATCAAACACCTGTGCTTTCATAACCAAGTCCTTTACGTTTGAATACGGATATGGAAAACTATCAATGTTCTCCTCCTTACAACGAATAATACATTTTTTCTGACTAGGTGATCCAAACGTATGAGATGATGATAGTTCGCCACGGTTTCATGTTGGTAGGATATCCTTTTGCGGGCAAGACTTCGACGTTAAAAGTACTGGCCGATACTCTAACAGTGTTGAACAAACAAGGATCAGGAGAAGAAAAAGTGCAGACACTTACGCTAAATCCCAAAGCCATTACAATGGGTAAACATACGAAATAATCTTTTCAGAAGCTTTCTTTAAACAACTTGAGAACTATACGTGTATACAGGGTGTTTCTTTAATGAAATGCAAATATTTAAGTGGGCGAATCTACAAAAATGAATGTTCGTTTGTTTTATAAACTACGCTCCAAAAATATTTCCTTACAGAAGAAGTTTTAGGAAGAAAATGGAATTTAATTAATATTTTGAGAACCGCTTCAGATATTTTACTGATATTTAATACGTAGTGGAAGTTAATAAAGGTGTACATTTTTCAATGCAAAAATAATTTTTAGCTTTAACAGTGGTGTTCGTACGGGTATTGACTTCGATATTTTTAAGAAAAAAATGGTTCGCCAATAATTTTTTGCCGCTTAAAAAATATTTTTGAATTCCCCGTTCAATTTAAAACAAATGACGTCTCTTGAATTGTTTTGCTTCGATGCGCCATTTTTGAGTGAAAAAATAAAAACCGTTCTACTGTCAAACTTGCAAAATTATTATTAATTTGATTGGAAAAATTAAACACATTAGGGGTAATGAATAACAACTGACAACATAAACATAACATTAAACCCAACGACATGATTATGATATGAATAGCTTTCTCGGACAGTAGAACGGTTTTTATTTTTTTATTCAAAAATGGCGCATCGAAGGAAAACAATTAAAGTTAAAGCTAAACATTATTTTTGCATTGAAAAATATGCCACTTTATTAACTTCTACTATGTACTAAATATCAGTAAAATATCTGAAGCGGTTCTGAAAATATTAATCAATTTCCATTTTTTTCCTAAAACTTCAACACCCCGAGTTTTTGTAAGGAAACATTTTTGGGCCATACTAAGTATGGAACACCCTGTATATTTACAATGTACACATAATATATTAGAAATAGCAGGGGGCCAAGTAGTGATCCCTGCGGTACCCCGTTGCAAATAGCAAAAGGTCGGAGCTTATACTTATACTTTGAAGTTGAGTCATTAATTTTCAGATAATGATTGTAGAAGGAAGATAAACCAAAATATGTGTGTAAAAATAAAAAAAAATGTTTACCTTGTTTTATAAAGTATCCTCCCGACAAGTATTTCAGTGCGGACCTGTATTTGATCGTGAGGTCTTGGAGCACCGGCATGCCGTCACCTGATTCACGAGCCCGTTGTACTACATTAACAAAGGCACGAGGGGTTGGTTGCACTCGATTGCGAAACCGATCCGCACAAACATGTGCCATTTTTTATTTCGTTTGAGCCACGCAACAGACACGACTATTCACTAACGCGTTACCCGACTGACACTGACTGTTTACAACTGAATGAAATAATTGTAAAAACATCGTTCCAAATTCTTTCGCTTTTTTGTTTCCGATGCGATGAACCGATAAGGCGAATTATATCCGTTGTCGCCAAACACGAGCACATAATATTATTATTGAGACAGGGCGGTACTCAAACTTCCAAAGGGCTATAACTTTGTTACTTTAATTTTACCAGAAAAATGGTAAAGGAAAAAACATTTCTTTTGATCAGATCTACTCACTGTTAAAATAAATGACTCAACTTCGAAGTCACCCTGTATACTGCTTCCTATTTGACAGAAACGCTATAGTATTCTTGTATTTTAAAAAGTATATATGTATTAATTGAATGCTTCCGTTAAGCTACACATGGTAGCTATAGTATTATGTATTATCCAGTACTGCCTCTCGTGAAACCCTAGGTCAACTGTACGGCCAGTTCGACCCGATATCGTACGAATGGTTCGACGGAGTTGTGGCCACCGGTTTCCGGAACTTCGCGGTCGATCCGTGCCCCGACCGAAAATGGATCATTTTTGACGGTCCCGTCGACGCAGTCTGGATCGAGAACATGAACAGCGTACTGGACGACAACAAAAAACTCTGCTTGATGTCCGGCGAGGTCATGTCTATGACGAACTCCATGTCGCTCATCTTTGAAGTTATGGATCTTGAACAGGCTTCCCCTGCGACGGTACGACAGCTGCCTTTCAAAGATAGATTCTTCATCACCAAATATATAAGCAAGACTTAGCTTCAGCAAAAAATAATTATTATAAACAGAAAAGTAGGAATGTAAAGTCGTAAGTGAACTAAGAGGCAAACCTCCTTCTTCCACCGACATACCACCTGATGTACTGAATCCTCAGTACTGCATAATAGCAGAAAAACTAAAGAATACAATTTCTCTAACGATTTTGTCTTTGACGTTTCCAGGTATCTCGTTGTGGCATGATTTACATGGAGCCCGTCACTTTGGGCTGGCAGCCGCTGCTCGAGTCCTGGTTGCCCAGCCTGAGCGAAGAATGGTGCGGTGAAGGTAGGGTCGACTTTGTCGTGGACATGTTCAACTGGATCGTGCCTCCATGTTTGACGTTTATCAGGAAGCATTGCGTCGTGTATTGCAATCCCGGAGAAATCAGCCTGGTCAGAACTATGATGATGATGGTGCAAATGTTGTTGGACGATGCGACAGGTGGAAGTGTCAAGAAGGAAGAAGAGTCAAAGTATCTGGACGTATGGATCCAGGCGACATTCATACAAGCAGGTAAAACCACTTTTCATCTTTAAACTTCTCAGACGATAATCGAGAATTTGTTATTAGGAGTGTGGGGTCTCGGAGCAATCCTCGACACAGAATCCCGAGCGAAATTCGACGAATACTACAAGCAACTGTGGAAAGGAATGTTGGAAGATCATCCGTATCCAGGAAGCATGGAAAAAATGGAAGTGCCCATCCCAACAGAGGGTCTGCTTATCGATTATTCGTACAACTACAGAATGAAAGGCAACTGGAAATATTGGCCGGATGTGGTCAAAAATGAAAGAGTGGATGAGTGCAAAAATATATTGCAAGCCTTGATACCTACTGCAGATACAGCGAGGTAAGACAAAAGCTTTAGTATGTTTGATAAAACAAAAGTGGCGAAAATTAAGTACAAAAATGAAAGGTTCTATAAGCAACGCAAAAGGTGTTGACGTTATGTCACGTAAAAGAAAAACAAAAAATTGTAGGTATATGCAACTGATCGATATGCACATTCGTTACCAAAACCCGCTGCTGTTGATGGGTCCGACGGGCACTGGAAAGAGCTTCTACATCCAGGACATACTCATGAACCGACTCAATAAAGAAAAATACGAACCGTCCTTCATTACCTTCACCGTGAAAGTAACAGCCAACCAGACGCAGGACTTGGTCATATCCAAGTTGAACAAAAGGAAACGAGGTCACTACGGACCTCAGAAGGGCAAGGTACATTTTATATTTATACAGGGTGCTTTCCAAAATATAAAGTATGATTTTCAAGGTGGCAGTTTTATTCATCGACGACGTCAACATGCCAGCGAAAGAGATGTACGGAGCCCAACCGCCCATCGAGCTGTTGAGGCAATACTTTGACCACAAGAACTGGTACGACCTCAAATCGACGGATCCGATATACCTACACGAGGTGTTATTTTTGGGAGCGATGGGTCTGGTCGGAGGCAGTCGGCAGGAGGTCTATCCTCGCTTCTTGAGGCACTTCAATATTTTCTCTATCAACGAGTTCTCGGTGGAAAGCATGGCCAAGATATTCAGCAACATCCTGCATTTGGGATGGAAGAACAACGGGTTCCCATCGGAGATCATTTCCGTTGTAACGCAAACCGTCAGCGCCAGCTTGGAGATATACAAATCGGCCATGGAAAATCTCAGGCCGACTCCGTCCAAGAGCCATTATGTCTTCAATTTGAGGGACTTCATGAGGTAATCTCATAATACGAGTTCAGTTATTGAAGAACTACAAAATCCATTCAGCAAACCGTGTCCATTCACCATATTTGCAAAACGTCTCCGCCATAATTTTAAAACGCATATCGGAACTTTGACGTATACTAAGTGACATATAAATCCAAACACCCAGTTTAAATGGTTTTATTTTAATAAATGTTGGTGAATGTATTTATCTTACTGTAAATAACAAGTGAAAAAATTTTCAGCCTTATCAGTTGGACATTCCGGTTTTTATACTGCTTTTTTTTAATTCACTAACGCTCTAAAAATGAATATTTCAGCCGCAGTAAAGAATCAACGTTGGCGGATTTTGGTTCTTGACATCCTTTACGATCGATTATGATGCCTAGAGTACGGAGACCTGTACGATTTCGTCAACTTAGTGAGTTTGATAGGAGCCGTATAGTGGGACTTCGGGAAGCTGGACTTTCTCTTCGGGCAATTGCAGTTACAGTGCAAAGAAGTGTAGACACTGTGGTTAGGTGTTGTCAGGCATGGCTTCGAGAAGGCCGTACGCAAAGAGCAAGGGGCACTGGACGCGGCCGTAGAACAACAGACCGTGAAGATCGCCGCCTAAGATTATTGGCCTTAAGGGACCGTTTCTCCACTACCAGGTCCATTGCAAATGAATGGTTTGCAGAACACGGAAGACCTATTGGCATGCGAAGTGTTTACCGACGAATGAGAAGTTTTGGCTTGTTTTCATACCGGCCACACTGGGTTCTCCCTTTAACTCGAGAACACCGACGTAATCGCCTTGAGTGGTCCAGACAACGGTCACTCTGGGATCAGGAATGGAACAGTATTGTCTTTAGTGACGAGACTCGATTTTGTTTAGGCATGCACGATGGTCGTGCCAGGGTTAGAAGGCGACGTGGTGAAAGGAGGAATCCACAGTTTTTTGTTGAAAGACATGTTCATCACACTGTTGGAGTTATGGTTTGGGGTGCTATAGATTATGGTTTCAGGTCACCTTTAATCTTCATCAGAGGTAACATGAACGCGCAGCATTATATCCACATCTTTTACCCTATCTTGACACCCTGGCAGATCCAACTTTCCAACAAGATAATGCCCGACCACATGTTGCAAGAGTCACAATAGACTTCTTTCAACATAATGATGTCACATTGTTACCATGGCCACCAAGATCCCCCGACTTATCCCCAATTGAGCACGTGTGGGATATGATGGGTAGGAGATTGCTCAATTTGCAACGTCCTCCTCAGACTCTAGAAGCACTTCGAGAGGAGTTGGTGGTTGCCTGGAATGAGATACCACAGGAGGACATTGACCACCTGATCAGAAGCATGCCTAGGCGCGTTGGAGATTGCGTAGCACATCAGGGTGCATCCACACATTATTAAAGGTCAAAGGGCTTTAAAGGAGTGCAATCATTTTGAAATTTTTATCATTTACTTATTATGCTTCATTAAGTACTTATACAAAATTTTATTAAAATAAAACCATTTAAACTGGGTGTTCGGATTTATATGTCACTTAGTATATTTGTCACGGTTACATGTTTGAACCTGCCTTTCCACGTGCTTTCTCTGTAGCTATTGTACATGAAACCCTTGTTTTTTAGATTAATTCAGGGATGTACAATGTTACGAAAGGAGTCGGCTGAAAGTAAGAAAACGTTTGTAAAAATATGGGTGCACGAGGTTCTCAGAGTATTCTACGACAGGTTGATAGAAGAAAAGGACAAGGACTGGTTGTTTGATAAAATGAAGACGGTTACAAAGGATAATTTTAGAGAGTACTTTGAGCAAGTATTCGATAATTTTCCAAAGAACCAAGATGGTAGGTAACAGTTGAAGAATATCGCTTAGCTGGATCATATGCGCTTGAATTCGTAATGTGCTTTGAGGAATCAAGGTCCGTGTATCTGCTTCAGGTTTGATCGAAAGAGACCAAATGAAAAACCTGATGTTCGGCACATACTTCGACCAAGACTCTGAAGAAGACCAACGCCGTTACGAACAAGTGATCAGCAAGGAACAGCTTTACGAAACGGCCAACAATTGCCTAACAGAGTACAATTCCACGCACAAAACTAAAATGGATATAATGCTGTTCGATTATGCCCTAGAACATCTGTCCAAGATATGCAGAGTGCTGTCCATGACTTGCGGAAGCGCTCTTCTGGTAACTTAATGTCTAAGCGTCCCTTAAGGCTAAGTGTAACTATTAAAAATCCTTTGATACTCGTTCAGGTCGGCATAAGCGGTTCGGGTAGACAATCCCTAACTCGACTGGCAGGCGAAATATACGGTCAAAAACTTTTCCAACCAGAGATCACAAACAATTACTCGATCAACGATTGGAGAGACGACATCAAGAAGATTCTGAAAGAAGCGGGCGGTAGAGGCAGACACACCATCTTCCTGATCGCCGAGGGTCAGATCAAGGAAGAAAGCTATCTGCAGGACGTCGATTGTTTGTTGAACGCTGGAGAGGTGCCAAACATTTACCAGATCGATGAGAAGCAGGAGATTTTAGATATGGTCAGACTGGCAGCACAAGGTGACGATAGCAAAGTTATCTAGACCTAACATAAAATATATCAACAGCAGAAGTTTGTTAAAGAACAAATGGATCCAGATTTTAATTTGCTAAGCATTTATCTAGTGTCGGTAGTTCAAACGTACCACGGAGTAATTCAAATGTAACGTGTCGTAATTCGAATGTATCTTAGAGTAGTTCAAATGTAACATGCAGTAGTTTTCAGATGGATACTGAAATTGAAATGTAACATACAGTAGTTGAAATGTACCGCTGAGTAATTCAAATGTTCAGTAGAGTAGTTCAAATGTAACATGAGGTACTTCAAATATACAATAGAGTAGTTCAAATCTAACTTGAAGTAGTTCAAATGTGACACGCAGTAGTTCAAATATAACGCGCAGTAGTTCGAATACGTTAAGCAGTTCAAATGTCACATTTTTTCTTAAATTATAGCTGGATTGTTAACTGACAATAAATTTCTTCTGAGTCTATGGCCCTCCTCCGATTCTCAGTAACCACCTGGAAAGCCGTGTTTGCGAAATATTTTTTGCGAAAGCCTGCTCGCGTTTCCTCAAAAATTTTGTGCTTCAGGTGGCAACCGAAATCTAGATATAAGCGCACTCGAAGTATTCTTTTTCTTCACGAAGCGTTGCAAAGAGAAACTGCACATCGTTCTGTGCTTCAGTCCTGTAGGATGCAGTTTCACGAACAGATTACGACTGTACCCGTCGTTGATCAACTGTTGTACGATAGACTGGTTCGAAAGTTGGCCAGAAGAGGCGCTCGAAGAAGTCGCTCATAAGTGGATGGAGGGAGTAAACCTCTCAGGTAGACACACTCATTTATATTCGACACTTGAATATCAAGTCCACTCGAGAAAAAGTTACTTATGTTTGTAACATTTTATTAACTACGAGCCCCTTCCCACTTCAGTTGGCCCACTTAAAGATTTGTACCAAAATATGTCTTTATAAACTAAACAAAACGAAACTATACTAAGTGACATATAAATCCGAACACCCAGTTTAAATGGTTTTATTTTAATAAATGTTGGTGAATGTATTTATCTTACTGTAAATAACAAGTGAAAAAATTTTCAGCCTTATCAGTTGGACATTCCGGTTTTTATACTGCTTTTTTTTATTTAATAACGCTCTAAAAATGAATATTTCAGCCGCAGTAAAGAATCAACGTTGGCGGATTTTGGTTCTTGACATCCTTTACGATCGGTTACGATACCTAGACTACGGAGACCTGTACGATTTCGTCAACTTAGTGAGTTTGATAGAGGCCGTATAGTGGGACTTCGGGAAGCTGGACTTTCTTTTCGGGCAATTGCAGTTAGAGTACAAAGAAGTGTAGACACTGTGGTTAGGTGAAGTCAGGCATGGCTTCGAGAAGGCCGTACGCAAAGAGCAAGGGGCACTGGACGCCGCCGTAGAACAACAGACCGTGAAGATCGCCGCCTAAGATTATTGGCCTTAAGGGACCGTTTTTCCACTACCAGGTCCATTGCAGATGAATGGTTTGCAGAAGACGGAAGACCTATTGGCATGCGAAGTGTTTACCGACGAATGAGAAGTTTTGGCTTGTTTTCATACCAGCCACACTGGGTCCTCCCTTTAACTCGAGAACACCGACGTAATCGCCTTGAGTGTTAGAAGGCGACGTGGTGAAAGGAGGAATCCACAATTTTTTGTTGAAAGACATGTTCATCACACTGTTGGAGTTATGGTTTAGGGTGCTATAGCTTGTGGTTCCAGGTCACCTTTAATCTTCATCAGAGGTAACATGAACGCGCAGCGTTATATCCACGAAGTTCTAGAACCCCATCTTTTACCCTATCTTAACACCCTGGCAGATCCAACTTTCCAACAAGATAATGCCCGACCACATGTTGCAAGAGTCACAATAGACTTCTTTCAACATAATGATATCACATTGTTACCATGGCCACCAAGATTTCAATAGTTGGGCCAACTGAAGTGGGAAGGGGCTAATATATCCTTGAATGCTTTGTTTAAAATTAGTAACTAGGTAACTAATTAGAGCCCTAGTAGGCCTTTGATCAAGAGGTTAAATTGGTCGGTTATCTATATTTCTCAAGTATATCATCAGAATTAGAAAATTTCGAGTTGTGCTTTTATTACAGACGAAATCAAGGGCTATGCAGTGGTGGCTTGCAAATACTTCCACGTTGAAGCGAGGATGAACTCGGAAAAATTCTTCAATAGCTTCAACAGAAAGACTTACATAACTTCCGCGTCATATTTGGAATTAATAAAGTCGTTTTCTGAATTAACCAACATGAAACAGAACGAAATAATGGCTGCCAAAAAGAGATATCTCGGCGGTTTGGAAAAATTGTATCATGCTTCCGTAAGCATTGGTGAGTAACCGGATAGATAAAACAGCTCAGAAGTCTTTGAAGCATTTTCTTTTTGATTCGGTCGAATTTTTCTAGGCGAAATGCAGGACTCGTTGGCGAAACTACAACCGGAATTGCAAAAAATGAGCGCGCAAGCGACACAAATGATGAAAGACATCGAGAGAGAAACGATCACCGTGGAAAAAACGTCGGCAAGGGTGAAAGAGGACGAGAAAGCGGCGAACAAGCAGGCCGCAATCGCGCAAGCGTTAAAAAAGGAATGCGAAGCCGATTTGATGGAAGCGATGCCCGCATTAAACGAAGCCTTGGCTGCTTTGGACACCTTGAAGCCATCTGATATCGTTTTGGTCAAGTCGATGAAAAATCCACCCGACACCGTGAAGCTCGTTATGGCTGCCGTGTGCATCATCAAAGGCATCAAACCAGATCGAATTCCTGACCCTTCGACCGGAAGGATGACGTTAGATTATTGGGGACCGAGCAAGAAACTTCTAGGCGACATGACCTTCTTACAAGGACTGAAGGAGTTCGACAAGGACAACATCAAAATCGACTACATGCAAAAGCTGAGGAAAGAGTACATTCCGCATAAAGATTTCAAGCCGAACATCGTGGCCAAAGCTTCGAGCGCCGCAGAGGGACTTTGCAAATGGATCATCGCGATGGACATGTACGACAAAGTGAACAGGGTTGTTGCGCCGAAAAAGGCCGCGCTGCAGAAAGCGCAAAACGAACTCGCGCAGACTGAACAGTTGCTCGACGAAAAGCGAGCGGTTGTGGCGAAACTGGAAGCGCAGTTGGCGCAGTTGAACGAACGATTATCGGACGCCGTTCAGAAGCAGTCTGATCTTCAGGACGCCGTCGATCTTTGCAATAACAAATTGATCAGAGCTCAGAAACTGATCGGCGGTTTGGGCGGAGAAAAAAACCGATGGACCGCGGCTGCGGAAGCGTTGCAGATCCAGTATGACGGCCTGGCTGGAGACATCCTCCTTTCGTGCGGGATCATTTCGTACTTGTCGCCTTTCAATAGCCTTTATAGGCAGACGATCACCGCAGATTGGCACAAATACGTGAAGAACCTGGAGATACCCGGCGCGGATCATTTCGAAATGGTCAACTCGCTGGGATCGGATGTTAAGATACAAAACTGGTACATCAGCGGTTTGCCCAGGGACTCGTTCTCTACTGATAATGGGATCATCATGGATAACTCCAAGAGGTCAGTAGGATGTTTCAAATTGCTACGTCCGTATTTTACTCGTATTTATACAGGGTGTCCGCAAAGTTGGGGTTTTCCTTTACACGACGTGTAGATCTTGAAAACATAAGCAATTTTTCTTAGTACCATATACACCAATGTCTTAAGGGAACCGAGATAAAGGGCTGTGCAACATCAAAAATATCTGAATACCGCGACCCGCGACATCACCGAGTGGTACAAAGTCACTGGCTCAACTCGACGACAAAACTGGGTCGGGGTCAGTGTGTCTGGTCAGTATGCAACCTTCAAGCGACGGTTACGGTCACGCGTGTAGAGGTAATCGCATAGACGAGAATCCCTCAACAAGCACTAAAGACGCGGCTAGAGAAGTGCAAGTATCAAAAACTAAAGTGTGGCAAACGCTGCGTGAAGAGGGGCTGTATCCGTTTCACGTCCAACGTGTACAAGCCCTTCAACCTGACGATTTTTCAGCAAGAGTGCGGTTTTGTGAGTGGTTGTTGCATCAACATGACAATAATCCGGACTTTTTGAAGTGCATATTGGTGACAGACGAATCTACGTTCACGCGTAATGGGGTGAATAACTTTCGCAACACTCATGTTTGGTCAGTAGAAAATCCGCACGCTGTCCGTCGGGCACATTTTCAACAAACATTTTCGGTGAATGTTTGGGCTGGCATGGTGAACGGTATGGTCATTGGACCATTTATTCTCCCAAATCGATTAGACGGGATGCAATACCTAGACTTTTTACGCAACATTTTACCTTCCTTGTTAGAAGATGTGCCATTAAGTGTAAGACAATCAATGTGGTTTCTGCACGATGGTGCACCCTCCCTTTTTAGACGCGAAGTGCGTGAGTTTTTTAATGAATTATTTCCGAATAGGTGGATTGGACATAATGGACCCGTAGCATGGCCTCCGCGATCTTCAGACTTAACACCATGTGATTTTTTTCTTTGGGGAGAAATGAAACGCTTAGTGTACAAAACTGAAGTGCATACGGTTGACGAACTTCGTCTCAAAATTGAACAAACTGGTGCTTTCATTCGGGGGAGGGACTCCATTCTCAAAACCAGCACCGATGCTTGGCTACGTCGTGCACGCACCTGTGTTTTTTAATCAAACGGCGATAACTTCGAAAGTACGTTTACCTAAAAACTGAAAACGCGGCAACTCCGTCATATTTCTTACCTCTGTTCGTGGTCTGCACCACCGCCTGCGTCTGCTCGGTAGCGCATCAGCTGATTTCATTTTCTGTTGGAGCGGTATGATTTCGGGCAGAGACGTACTTAGCCCTTCTCGTCAACTGGAGAGCGAGTACTTTTTCCTTTATTTTTTTTTACTTGGTCGCCCTCGTTTCACTACACATTACCTTTGTTATTTCAAGGGTAGTTGTTTCTGAAAAGGAAAACCCCAACTTTGCGGATACCCCGTATTTGTTAAAAGAGGACCAATTGTTCTTCAGTTTATAAACCATAATTCCCCATGTTTATCTGGCCGAATTAAACCACATATGCTTAGGATCCTTTTTTTCTCATGAGTGACCTTCAGGAACAATTCAGGCATTACAGTATTTCAGGTGGTCGCTCTTCATTGATCCTCAATGTCAAGCAAGCAACTGGATCAAAAAAATGGAGAAGAAAAACAATCTGGAGATAGTAAAATTCTCCTACTCAGACTACATGAAGAAAATCGAGATTTGCGTCCAACAAGGATATCCGGTAATCCATTAGAAATAAAATTTCCATATGGAAATAATACGCTGAAATTTTACAATCCGTTCCAAACAACCCCGTTTTTGCCATTTATTACTCTCACACTAATTTACCTGTAGGGGCCGTTCAAGTATTACGTGAGCACTATGCGGGAGCGGGGGGGCTTTGCTTTGCTTATTTTGGATGACATGGATGGTAGGGGAGTCTAGATGATGATTACGTCATCGGTAGTTGTTTACGTTTTTACACGAATGACAACCGTCACATTGTCTTTGCTTGAAAACGAAACGCATTTTCGGGGATTCCCGCAAATAATGCATACGTTTAGTGAACAGCGCGCGGTAATTCCCCTACTCGCTTTAGAACCGAGTAGGGGAATTACCGCTGGAAGAAGCTAACTAATGAAGTGATGTGCATTATTCAAAATTTAGAGCACCATGATGTTGAATTGCTCGATAAGAACGACGTAGACATTCCAAAATCTGATGAAAGCGAGCAAACTCACAACACTGAGCAGCAATCGAAGCAATCCAATGTCATCGAAAACTTATAATCATGGATTCGGGTTTCATGGACTGAAGACTGTTAATTTGAATTTAATATATGTACCAAAAATTTAAAATAAGTTTGTTATGTTAGTAAGATATAATATTTTTGTCCTTTACTCTATGTTGAATACTGTATCACTAAAATATAACCTCTATCCTAAATCAATTTTCTTATTTTTCAAAATATAATTATAACGCTATAATTATAATATTAAAAAAAAACAATACATTAATTGACAAATGTTTACGTAAGCATGGTGGGAGGGGGCAAGACCTTTGCTTCCTTTTGCTGACTAGGGGGATGGGGGGTAAACAATTGTAATAAATCTGCTTACGTAATACTTCAACGGCCCCTAATACAACTTTATGACTATCTGTCCTGGACTAACGCGTTTCGCGTTTCTTTTATCTTAATCTCCTTTAACATGACTAGGTATTGCTAGAAAGTGTTGGTGAAGAATTGGAAGCACCGTTGGACCCTCTCCTGTTCAAAAAAACCTTCAAGCAGGCAGGCATGGAAGTGATCAGTGTCGGGGAGAATGTGATAGAATATAACAAGAACTTTAGACTATATCTTACGTCGAAATTGAGGAACCCGCATTATTTGCCTGAGGTGTTCAACCGAGTCACCATCATCAATATGGCGTTGACGTTAGAGGGACTGCAGGACCAACTGCTAGGTATTCCATGTTCTCGACGACACATATTTTTTTCATATCTAGGTTTAACAACTTGTTGAGAAAATTATTACGAGGAGTACAAGACAAGAGTGTGGTTCGCTTTCAGGTATCGTGGTGGCAGTAGAAAAGCCGGACCTTCAGCAGCTGAAGGAAGACTTGATCGTCCAGAAGGCAGAAAATAAAAAAGCGTTACAAGAAACAGAAGAGAACATTTTAAAGACTTTGTCCGAATCGAAAGGAGACATCCTGGAAGATGAATCAGCTATAAGGATATTAGATGAATCGAAAGTGTTGTCTATCGAGATTAGAGAGAAGCAAGTGAAGTCTTTCGAGATAGAAAAGTCTATCGAGGAGTTCAGGATCAAGTACCAAGGAGTTTCTGAACACTCTGCGGTACTTTATTATTGCATTTCGGATTTGGCAAATGTAGATCCTATGTACCAATACTCATTAGAATGGTAAATAGAAACATAACACGGTGCCGTAAGATCTTTTATCTTTCCGAATAACCGTAATGTGTCTTCCAGGTTCATCAATTTGTATATCAGTTCTATCCAAAGGGCTGAAAAGTTCAGGAGCATCGAGAAAAGATGTCAGAGTCTGATAAATGCATTCACGTACGATCTTTATAACAACATAACGAGATCCTTGTTCGAGAAAGACAAGTTGTTGTTTTCGTTTCTTTTATGTTCTAAAATTATGATTTCGCAAAACAAGTTGGATGAGAAAGAGTTCATGTTTCTTTTGACTGGTGAGATTATTGGAGTATTTTTTTAGTGCACTGGACCTCCGGTAATCCGACAAACATTATGCAGCGCAGTATCGGGCTATCGAATTTGTCGGATTATAGAGCACTGCCTAAGATTTTTTACGAAAAAGTACCTTGTAATGCGACAAATTACATATCCAATTGTAAGATTACATATGTTATGTATACGTTGAAGTATAAATCATACATAGTTTATGTATGTCGAATTTAGTAAATTAAATAACAATAGAGAGCTTACGTTTTATTGTAAATTAAGCATAAATGTACACACATATGTACCAAAATAATCAAGAATTATTAATTAAAATCATTAATGAATTTATCAAAGCTTGGAAATATTCATCATTTTTGTTTGTTTAAGGTTGCTGTAACGCGAGATCAGAGCTTTGTCGCTCAGTCTTCTCAAAAGTAAAAGTTCGTTGTAGGATGTACCATTCTCTTCAGCCCATTGTAAACCTAGCTCAAAGGCGTTAATTGCGTCTTGTGCTGTGACTTGTGGAGCAGTTGCAATCACGTCGTCGTTATTTTCCTGATTGTTTGTTGTATAATTAGAAACCTCTTTTATAATCTCTTCGTCAGACATTTCATGAAAAACATTCTCCTCTTTATCGATTCCATGGCTCCAGATTTACAAATCTTCCGGACTTATCTGTGTTTCAGTAGAGACTTGTTCTGTAACTCCCCAAGTAACACTGATTTGTGGAACGTTGCTAGGAGTGGTGACTATATCTGGCCATAACTTTTTCCAAGACGATTTAATAGTTGATGACGGTAACGCGTTCCACGACTGACAAATAGCAAAAACCAAGTGTTTCATATTAAATTCTTTTTTCTATTGGTTGGTCTTTTGATGCGGCTCTCAGAAGTAGGTTTTTCTTATAGACTTGCTTGATAAACTGAATGATATTCTGGTCCATTGGTTGAATCAGTGCAGTGCAATTTGGCGAAAGAAACCTGTTGGATTACAGGGGGCGCCGGATTAGAAAGGGGCCGGATTATCGGGGGTCCACAGTATATTGATCGTCCTACTTGATATTAACAAAACATTGCAGGTGGTGTGAATGTGGAGAGCACAGTCGCAAACCCGTGTTCAGATTGGCTGCCGCTCAGTTCATGGGAAGAGATTTGTAGAGCTGAACAGTTGCCGGCATTCAACGGTTTTGCAAAAATGTTCAAAAGTCAAGAGAAACATTGGAAAGAAATCTACGATGACTTTGACGACGATTTTGTAATGCCTGACCCTTGGAAGGACAATTTAGTTTCGTTCAGGAGACTGATCGTAATACGACTGTTGAGACCTGACAAACTAATCACGTCCGTGACATTATTTGTCACTAACGAAATGGATGACAGGTTCGCAGATGAATATTATAGACGGTACTTTCGGATGCAGCGTTTTTTCTTTTTAGGTTCATAAGGCCTCCCCCTTTCAACATATCAGTTTCGTACGACGAATCGTACTCTTTGTGTCCGTTGATTTTCATCTTGTCGCCAGGACAAGACCCGATGGCAGCACTCGTCAGATTCGCTGAAGAAAAAAAGATGACAGACAGGTTCAGATCTATCTCGTTAGGACAAGGTACGGTTCATAAAAGTCGGAGTGTGGAGACAGCCTAGCGACAAAGGAACGGTCATATCTGGATGAATAACTTAAAATATTCTCTAGGTCAAGGTCCGATGGCGCAAGCGCTGATCGACGAAGGTCAAGATGGTGGTCTATGGGTATGTCTCCAGAACTGTCATCTGGCAACTTCTTGGATGCCCAGCTTGGAGAAGATCTTCGAAAATCTGGACTATGCCAATACGCACGATCAGTTTCGTCTCTGGCTGACTAGTTACCCGTCTGCTAAGTTTCCTGTCACCCTTCTACAGGTAACGGTGCTGAATTTTGAATAATGCTCAAGGAAAAAATGATTGATTCTTAATAATAAATGAGAAAAATGATTTCTTAGAAAGGAGTAAAGATGACAAACGAAGCTCCGACTGGTCTGCAAAACAATCTGTTGAAATCTTACGTCAGCGACCCGGTGAAGAATCCGGAATTTTACGAGGGCTGTCCGGATCATGAAGAAATGTTCGTCAAGCTACTGTACGGTCTGGCATTCTTTCATGCTTGCGTACAAGAACGTAGAACGTTTGGACCACTCGGATGGAATATTCCATACGGTAATACCATTTTGTATTTATTTTCAAAATGACCTGCATCCAGAGCCAACACCAACCAAATTTTCCACACAGTCACTACTACATAAGAACTATATACGATCAAATCATCTTTCATCGCCATTAGATGGATTAGTTGGTCCGTACAACGAAATTTACAGCTGACAATTATCATATCGGTGGATCTGAATAAAATTTTCATAATATCTTGCGCCTCCTGTACACAAAATCACTTAAAATGGATGAATAGGAAGCGCATGTGAGGTACCGTTCACAAATGATATAACCGAATTTATGAATTTTCAATTTTGTTTCTAAAGAATTTTGTGTGATGTGAGGAGCTCGCCAGCCGTCGCGGAACGACCGACGAACGCTGAAACAGCGCAATTGTGCATCAGTTATGAATATTTCACGAGATATGCTACTTTTCTCAATGTTGCAGTAAAAAATGCTCGTTTATAAATGTACAATCAAGGAGCTTGAGCATTTAATTAATGAAACGAAACTACGGATTTTATTTTCTTGCCTGTCATAGAAGAAAGCAATTCTATTTAACTGAGATGTCGTTACGCGAACTCGAAACATTGTTCATTTTAGATACAGCAACTCTTATCTTTAAAAATAAGTCTGAGCTTGAAACATTAAATATAAGATACAATATGAGACGTAAACAAGATCTTGAGTTAGTAGTTAGATCAAAATTTGTGAAGGACTCGATAATTTATGGTGTGTCATGAGCCGTCCTCATGCTATCAGGAGAAGACACAATTTAAATTGATTTCGCCGTGAACTTAAAAACCTTATAATATGTAAACAATATTATACCATGTGTGAATTCTACAGTTCACCTACTCAAGATCCACATAAGTAATTATGTTATAGTTTAGTTTTAAGTTGGCTTTATCGTTAAGAACGATTGTATTCTTCAGACAATAACGAAACAAGACAGTTAGCGTGTTTGTACCGACTGCCTCGGAAGGGGAGTATGTATGTGAACAAAAAATTCTCATTTGTTCGTTCCTTATGATTTTCTCTATTTCTCATCAGGATTTAACGATTCCGACTTTGACATTTCCGTTCAGCAATTGCAAATGTTCATCAACGAGAACGACGATCCTTACGAAGCGCTGTCCTATTTGATCGGCGAATGCAACTACGGGGGTAGAGTGACGGACGATTGGGATAGAAGGCTTATTGTCACCATTTTGGCGGACTATTTGAGCCCTACTGTCGTCTCACAGAAGAATTACACGTTCAGCAATGCCGGAGATTGCTACGGACTCCCGGAGAAGAACGAGTATGCCGTTTATATAGGTCAGCTTGTTTCAAGTCTTACATTCTTTTAGTCAGTGTATCAGTCTGCGAGTGTCGCTATCCGAAAATGCGTCAAACAAGAAAAAAAAACGTAGACAACAGGGAGTGAAGAGAATGATAAAATCGGGAAACTGGTAGGAAATTACATCAGAATTGAAATCAAATCGAAATGAGGGTGAGATTTTGCCAAAAAGGGTGCTTATAGAATGTTTTGATATTATTGGGGCAAACATATTAATCCTATGAAATATACCAAGTGACATATAAATCCGAACACCCAGTTTAAATGGTTTTATTTTAATAAAATTTGGTATAAGTACTTAATGAAGCATAATAAGTAAATGATAAAAATTTCAAAATGATTGCACTGCTTTAAAGCCCTTTGACCTTTAATAATGTGTGGATGCACCCTGATGTGCTACGCATTCTCCAACGCGCCTAGGCATGCTTCTGATCAGGTGGTCAATGTCCTCCTGTGGTATCTCATTCCAGGCAACCACCAACTCCTCTCGAAGTGCTTCTAGAGTCTGAGGAGGACGTTGCAAATTGAGCAATCTCCTACCCATCATATCCCACACGTGCTCAATTGGGGATAAGTCGGAAGATCTTGGTGGCCATGGTAACAATGTGACATCATTATGTTGAAAGAAGTCTATTGTGACTCTTGCAACATGTGGTCGGGCATTATCTTGTTGGAAAGTTGGATCTGCCAGGGTGTCAAGTTAGGGTAAAAGATGGGGTTCTAGAACTTCGTGGATATAACGCTGCGCGTTCATGTTACCTCTGATGAAAATTAAAGGTGACCTGGAACCATAAGCTATAGCACCCCAAACCATAACTCCAACAGTGTGATGAACATGTCTTTCAACAAAAAAACTGTGGATTCCTCCTTTCACCACGTCGCCTTCTAACCCTGGCACGACCATCGTGCATGCCTAAACAAAATCGAGACTCGTCACTAAAGACAATACTGTTCCATTCCTGATCCCAGAGGACCCAGTGTGGCCGGTATGAAAACAAGCCAATATTTCTCATTCGTCGGTAAATACTTCGCATGCCAATAGGTCTTCCGTGTTCTGCAAACCATTCATTTGCAATGGACCTGGTAGTGGAGAAACGATCTCTTAAGGCCAATAATCTTAGGCGGCGATCTTCACGGTCTGTTGTTCTACGGCGGCGTCCAGTGCCCCTTGCTCTTTGCGTACGGCCTTCTCGAAGCCATGCCGGACAACACCTAACCACAGTGTCTACACTTCTTTGCACTCTAACTGCAATTGCCCGAAAAGAAAGTCCAGCTTCCCGAAGTCCCACTATACGGCCCCTATCAAACTCAATAAGTTGACGAAATCGTACAGGTCTCCGTACTCTAGGCATCGTAACCGATCGTAAAGGATGTCAAGGTCCAAAATCCGCCAACGTTGATACTTTACTGTGGCTGAAATATTCATTTTTAGAGCGTTAGTGAATTAAAAAAAAGCAGCATAAAAGCCGGAATGTCCAACTGATAAGGCTGAAAATTTTTTCACTTGTTATTTACAGTAAGATAAATACATTCACCAACTTTTATTAAAATAAAACCATTTAAACTGGGTGTTCGGATTTATATGTCACTTAGTATATGTTGTAATTGCAACATGTGTTATTTTTATGCTGCAAATTTGATTAGGGAGTGATAAAGGTGGTGTTTTCTACTATATATTATCAAAATATTCATTGTTAATATTTTAAACCTATAACACCCCGCTACATTTTTATTATTTGTGTTTGATAAGAAAAAAACTAAGATTTCTATAGTTGGGCCAGCTGAAGTGGGAAGGGGCTCGTAACTGTTTTAGTTTTTTAAAAGATTGTGTTCGTAGCAATCATACTAAATAATTCTTAAACAAACAAACTGTGTTCGTTTGTTGATAAGATCTTCTCCAAATTGCAGCCCACATTAACGCCTTGCCTGGCGTGCACCCTCCTGAAGTTTTCGGTCTGCACACGAACGCAGGCATCACCAGGGACCTGCAGAACTCGAATCAACTCCTGAACTCCGTGCTGAAGGCGTACGGTGAAGTATCGGCGGGAGGCGCCGCGGGAACGGACAAATTCATCACGACTCTTTGCTCAGACATGGTTAGATTTTGATCGTTCCGCTTTTTTGTTGTCAAAAAGTTCATAAAAGAAAAAAAGACGATTAAAGCTGTTTATGTGTGGTTATAATGGTATAGGTGTCCAGGCTACCGAAAAAGTTCGATCTGGATGTGGCCCACGCGAAGTACCCTGTGGAATACTCGGAATCGATGAACACGGTGCTGGTGCAAGAGATGGAGAGATTCAACAAGTTGTTGGGGGTCATCGCGAGTTCTTTGGTCAATATGCAGAGAGCTATACAAGGTGAGGCAAGCAGAACGAGAATGGCAACGTCCCTTAATGAAAATAAAACAATACATAGTTGAATCAGTACGTACGTACAAAGATATCTCAAAAAGCTCCTATAAACATGGATTTTAACCTAATTATAATGTTTCCGTCCGTTCGACCAAAGAGAACAGCCAACCACGGACAAGTGTGTCGTGTTTCTTGGCTAGTCATCAGCGTAGTCTAGGCTTGGTTTCTTGTCTCTGGACAAACGAACGAAAGCATCGCAACTATCATCTACCCCGGTGATATGATCTGTCGAATTAAGCCATTAACTGTTAGTCGGAACTTTACAGCCAGAATCGTCAGGCATCTAGCGGTCACGTGGTGACTGAGCTCGTAACTAGCAGTTCCGACTAATAGCAGTGATCGATTCTGGCGCGACAGAGGGCGCTTTGCGCTGTCTCGTTCATGGATTTTAAAGTTCACAATTTAGTGTCGGACTTGTTATTCTTTCATTCAAGGCTTAATGGCGATGTCTCCAGCTCTAGAAGCGTTCGCGGCGTCATTGCTTCTAGCTAGAATCCCTTCAAATTGGGCCAGCGTATCTTATCCCAGTCTGAAGAGCTTGCCAAGCTACATGGCTGACTTTTTGGCTCGCATACAATTCTTACAATCTTGGTTCGACGAGGGAAAACCTGTCAACTACTGGGTGTCCGGATTCTTCTTCACGCAAGCTTTTTTGACAGGAGTCAAACAAAATTTTGCGAGGTTTGTTTAAAGTTTATTTAGCTACAATGTCAACGTTTACACGTTTTTTGAATAAATTCCCGGTAATTTTACATTCTTGTCTATTACAATTATATCACCATGCATTTTGTGATTTTTTAATTTCACCTTTAACATTTTTAAATTGAGTTTAGTATTATTATACAGGGTGGCGCATCGAAAACGCTCAGTTTTTTTTAAACGCTCAGTTATGATAATGATTACTTAATTTTGTAAGTTTTCTAAATGTGGTGATAATAAATGATTTTTTAACTTGAATATGAAAATGAGAACTAACTAATATTTAAAAATATTTACATCCAACCACTATAGTCCTTCTAACATAGAAGCATATTTGTTTCTATTAAAAATGATTCGCGCAGCTTTATTTTGTAGAATTTTTGTAATTAAGAAAATACGTTTACATTCGCTGTAAACGAAATGGCTGAACAATATAAAGAATGAGAAAGAACTACAGTAACACCATGAAAATAGAATCAGAATTAAGAAATAAACGACACTTTTATTTCGGTATTCTCAGAAAGTACGCGATCCCCATTGACAAGTTGACGTTTGACTTCGAGATCATGAGGCAAGATCGGATGAATGATGCGCCCGAGGATGGGACGTACTTGTACGGACTGTTCACAGATGGCGCCAGGTGGGACCGCGGAAAAGGGAGACTAGCGGAGCTGGTGCCGAAAGTATTGTACGATATCATGCCTATAATATGGATCAAGCCCATCACTTCTGCAGAATATAAAGTTGGTGAGTACCGAATGGATCTGTGATATCGTGCGGGCTTTTGTTGTTTTCGACATAGGGCTAAATTAAGGGAATTTATTTCACAATATTACCATAAGCTTAATATACTAAACTGATTTTTGACACAAATGAACTTAACCTAGTCTGGCTCTGGGGTACAGATAGATAATTGTAAGGGTGTGATATACAGGGTGACTTCGAAGTTGAGTCATTTATTTTAACAGTGAGTAGATCTGATCAACAGAAATGTTTTTTTCCTTTACCATTTTTCTGGTAAAATTAAAGTAACAAAGTTATAGCCCTTTGGAAGTTTGAGTACCGCCCTGTCTCAATAATAATATTATGCGCTCGTGTTTGGCAACAACAGATATAATCCGCCTTATCGGTTCATCGCATCGGAAACAAAAAAGCGAAAGAATTTGGAACGATGTTAGGTATCACTCGACCCCACTTTCCATTTAAGATTTTAGGGTTGGTGTCACCCCCGCCCAGGGTGCTGCACGTGCTAACGTGATTTTTTGCCAAACTTGTGTCCCTCTCGAAAACAAAATCGACGAGTCTGAGCGTTTTTCCAAAAAAAAACTGACCTGCCAGTAAATGCGTCTGTTTCGTTTTCGATGCGCCACCCTGTATGTACCTGCATTGATTTTTATAGGCGCCCGTTACGTGAGTCCTGTGTATAAAACTTCCGAACGCAGAGGAACGCTCTCTACCACAGGCCATTCGACCAATTACGTACTACCAGTACTGCTCGACACGGACGTCAAGCCTTCTCATTGGATCAAAAGGAGCGTAGCACTGCTATGTCAGCTTAACTGAACTAATACACTGTATATAGGTTTTAATAAATGTATACAAATAGCAAAACGATTTTTATTTAAATATCTAGGCAGTTTTGAAGATCTCCGAATTGGAAAAATGTCTTTATTAGCATCAAAAAATTCGGAAAATATAAAGTTCGTTCAGAATAATGAAAGTTTCAATAATATCGCCCTGTGCAATAGCCAATGTGTCATTAGTTGACAATGACAATTACAAACTATTAATTTCGAAATTCCTGTTTGGCCGAGCGAATGTGCTCAAAACGTGTATATTTTCGTTGAAAGAGTCGCTATAGAAAGAAGAAGATAAAGGTAAGACTCAGCACTATAAATACCTTCATTTACTGATATAGATAGTCGCAAAATGATCGGCCAATTTTAAAGGCCTTATGCAGTGAAAAAATCGGATCGCTTCAGCAGATCCAATTCAACTGATTAATTTTTTTTAGAAAATGAAACGAAAATCGAAAAATCCGTTATTTTTTCCGGGTATCCTGAAGGCCATCTCGCAACTGCAACAGTCAAAGGGTGCCACAGAAGCCAAAATTCTCGACTACATACAAAGACTCATGCTTGTCATCAATCCGTCATCGAACACGCAGAAAGTACATAATCTACCGCAACAGGTAAACAAGCGATTGCAAATATTAGCCTTAGTTTTTTATATCGATGGCGTCAAATTCAAATTCCAAACAAAAAACCTTCCAGGTGCGAAGAGCTTTGAAACATGCTCAAAAACTGGGACTTGTTATGCAGAAAGGTGGAAGATATCTCCTCGCCATTAATCCAGTCAAGAATAGATTACATCCAGCTAGTAAGAAATCATGCAAACCTAATATTTACTTGACAAGATTCAGGACGTCTACGTCAGTTGGAAAAACCAACAAAGGTAAATACAGGGGTTATTAATTGAACCAACAAATCGACAGTCTACTTGCCATTGAACAAAATTAAGGAGTATAAGTTTTAAATGTCTCACGAGCAAATTGTGTATTTTACAGTTGGAACTGTAAAAGCAAGACGCAGCAGTACTCAACCGGACAAGGCGTGCGGTCATTGCAGGAAAAACAAGCGACGCAGGGCTAAGTCCAGACAAAACCGAAGTAGAAGAAGACGTCGTCATGCTGGTCATGGAAGTTTAGGCAGTCTTGATGACAAAAACGAAATCGTGTCTTCCGAGGAATCGTTCGAGAGTAACTGACACCTTGACGATGTGACGTTTTCACTTGTAACAGAATCGTTCCGTTCAATAAATTTTGGCTTAGTTCTCATATAAAACAAATACCAATGATACGCTAAAATGTAGCAGGTTCGATAATCATTCTGCGCGGTTGTTATGAAAACCCGGCACTGTTATTCTAAACTGTTTGAGAAACATTCGGGTATCTCTCAAAGCATACTCGATTTTTATGGCACGAAGCAGTTGTTTCTAGGCGAGCGTAGGAGTCAAAACATTAACACATCGTTTGATTGCTCCCGAAAATGGACGGAAACTAAAATAAACTGATACGCCGAACAGCGAAGCGATTACGCTCAAGAAAACTTGAATTTAAGGATTCATGCTAGATGATAATTTATCTTTTGCCTGCGCGAATGTTATGTTTATGTTGCCAGTTGTTGTTGTTTATTACCCCTAATGTGTTTAATTTTTCCAATTAAATTAATATATAATAAATCGACGGGTCTGAGCGTTTTTCCAAAAAAAAAAACTGAGCTGCCAGTAAATGCGTCCCTTTCGTTTTCGATGCGCCACCCGGTATAGATTCACACCCTTAAATATTCGCATATCATTACTACAAGTTTGACTGTTATTGAAATTTCACATTAAATTCGTATTCTTCTGCGAAAGGCATAAAAGTTCGTGGTTCCATATGATCCTGGTGTTCCAGGCAGCTGCCAAAAATGGCGAAAACTTCTATGGATGGCAAAAAGCAGTTTAAACTGACTAAGAGCAAATTTAATCTTTTTATCGATAGCCAGAATATTAATCCTAATAAATAACCGTTTAAAATATTTCGAATTTCTAACAGAATCAAAGTATTCTGCCATAACTCCTGTTTTCTAAGTTGTACACCAATATGCGGCCAATTAATGTTTTGCCAGATCTTGAAAAAGTATTTGAAGAAATTATTTACGAACAGATCATGGAATTCATCGAGAGAAAATTTCAGCCAAATTTAAAGCTGGATTCAGGAAGAAACCTGCAATACGAATGGTTTTAGATTACTGGAGCAGATGTTTGGCGAATATGAAACATGCGATGACAGTGTTTTTGGACTTCAAAATGGCGCTTGAAACTCATCAGGGATAAATTACTATGAAGTGAAAATTCTTAGAAATTCAAGTTTAGTGTTATGTAACTGTTGTAGTTTTTCAAAAGAATCCATGCTCAATGTCATCAGCGTTGGGCCGTAGGTGTGAGATAGTTTTGATTTATTTCATTTCACTTTTTGTTTAACAGAATTGTTTACATTGAAAAATTAAAAATATTGGAGACAAACCAAATTTTAATGATCGATACTAAAAAGTATGTATCAACTTTGTCTCATTTTTAATCTAAAAGTTGGAATGATCTCGCGTTATAAATATTAATTTTACGATCTTGTTTTAGAGTCATGAGATTCTATGGAGATAGCTCAGAACGCCCAAAAAACTATGAATATCAGTGAAATATTTCCAAAACTTATTATTAGATAAATATAGCGACAATGATGATATAGATATTTGCCATTAGCCGAGAATATACTCGGATCACAACTATTTGAAAAAAAACAAGCAGAATTCGTGCAAGTTGTCTCACCATCTCCAATATCAGGTATTCTGCTATTGTTGCTGCTTGATGGATAGAGTATTTCGTATGGTCACCTTACAAAATCACCAATTCAGCTGAATTGTTCATATGCCGTACCGTTAGCAAATAATTACTTCCGTTTTGTTGCCTTATTTAAAGTATTCTGTTTATTAACTACAACGGAGAGATTCACATCGCAAGGCAGTACGAATATCTCTTGAATATCTTTTCCATATAAACGAACGTACGCCGATGTATTGGTTTGACACTTTGGTATTCAAACTAGTCCCTAAAACCACACATTTGGCGACAAGCAATTCGAATTCGTTGGTCCCTCTAGTAAAACATCGCCTTTAAGCTCTATAATCTTTGTACGTAGTCTAAACATACCAGACACTTTTTCAGTGTCGTCCTTCGATATATTTATTCGCTTTGCAAGGCCATCAGTATCTCTGATGTGACATATTTTATGCCAGACTACTTTGAAAAAATACTCGACGCCCACTACGCGATCATTTTTATTACATCTGTCCTGGCAAGGTTTTCCAAAAAATACGTCATCCCGGATCAAGCGAAATCATAGGTGATATTGACTATATGAAATATTGCCGTATAAAGATATGCATGTCTCATAACACATTCGGAGGGCCTTAGAGCTTTAAATAACACCCTGTCCATTTGGCTTAAATAGAAAAATCTTCACAGGCTGAGAAACCTCATTGTTCCAAAAAATGTATTTACCTTTTCGATTGTTCAAATAAGTTTGATTTTCATGACATTTCGATTGATAAGGTAGCTTCAATCATCTTCAGACAAATTGGCAGAAATGAATCAACTTTACACCAACCCTAATATGTACAGAAAGCAGCAACGATTAAATCATATAGCTGAATAATGAAAAGACTGTACCGCTGCCAAAATCTAGGACATTATTAAACTTTAAACATAACGTCAAGTGTATTACTTGCTCAAAGGCGTGTCTGCGTATTAATCAAATTAGTCATATGGAACTAAAGTTTGTTACAACGTCCAAAGTGAATCATGGATACAGTTTGTTCAGTAGCCAAAAATACATATTTCGATAACAAATACAAATTAGTGTTTATACTTACAAACTCTGTTATTATTTCTATGTGATTTGTGTATTTTTGATCGATCCAAGGTTGGGTAGATGTAGGTGATTTTTTAAATATATGTTGGGTGTATCTGTAAACAGATTATTCAAAAAAAAGAATAGAATATCCTCAATCATTATTTGAGACAAACTATATATATATATATATATATATATATATATATATATATATTTACATCCAGGTCAATCATTTGCTTCCATCAACATGCACGGCACATTACATCTTGACTCCATGACTATATTGATACCATATATCGGACTCAAAATAGTTAACTCGATTTCTGCCGCTCTAGAAGACCAGATATGCTTCAATCTTTACAGATTCCTACGCAATTCTCCAGCAGAGTCTGTGTTGAGTTTTTGTTCTATGATACCTGGCACCAGATGGCCGCAATTAAATAATGTGTGGATGCAATTTATTACTACTTTTGTAACCAAAAAATACGATTTTAGTTCACAGGAATTCCGCTACGCGGAGGCATAAATATGCTCACTGGAGCTTTGACTTCATTCCGTAGATTATTTTGGTTCCTCTTATAAAAATCATTGGCAACGCTGCATGTCGCGTCTATACGTATAACAATATGATCTATCCAGTCGTATCTTGATTCCCGACGTTTTGAGTACGATTTTGCAGCCAGTGAGTTTCTTTTGCCTGTTACTTGTTAAATACGAGTAACTTTCTTTGAGATCGAAATGGCTAGCAGTCAAGAAGAGGTAAGTTGTGTTTTTACTACCCACGCCAACTGGTGAGGAATGATTGTTTTTTTGATTGATTCAAAATTTCAGGTGATGAAATTCTGGAATAACAGAAAAACAAATAGATGGCTTTGTAACAGATCATTATCTCCAAGTGAGGACAAGAGTGGAAATGATACTAGACAAGAGAAGGTTAGTTTCAACAATGACTAGATTCTTGTAAGTCTTAATAGTCCTTTGGCCCACGGGGAGAGAATATTTTGTGACAACCTAACCTTAAAGATTTTGTGAAACTTTTTCTTTACGTTGATTGGGACAAATATTCAATAGCGACAATTCCTTATACGAGGCGTTGTACTTCTCATGCCAATTTTCAGAAAAGTTCGAAATCGAAACATGTTTTTTTTTAATATTTCGTGAC